TAGCCGCAGACCGTGGGAAACAGCCTTCAGCACCTCAGAAGGTGGTGGTGAACGGCAGTGTCCACTCTCCAATCGCTAAGACCACTGCAGGGTTCTCTGAGCCCTTGAGAGGAGCCACAACAGGCGCGCGCCGTGGCACCTTCACTATCGTGGTCCCGACTGTTGTGTCACACGTCAGTCAGTCATTTGACAGACATTCCGGATGACAGGCACAGCCACAGATTATGGCGCGCCTCTGCGGGCATGCCCCTTCTTCGGGCTGAGAGGGCTACAATCATTGACTCATGCGTGATTAACACCGTCCTTGCTAGTGAGGTCGCAGGGTCCGCGACTCTTGAAAATTTGGCCCAACACAGGTAGGTCTGAATCATATGAGTCACAGTATCTGACTTTATGGGACCACAATCTCATTTGACCCAATCTTGCACAATTCACTATAAGCCAGGGGCGGATCCAGAAAATCTCCAAGGGAGGGGCCATTAGAAACCAGGAGGCCCCCCCCATAATCCCACCTGTTGGAGGCCCCATCTTCCCACTTGTTGGGCCCCCCCCAAAAAAACTGCGTCTATTGAGCTTATCTAGCTGTTCAGGCAACATCTCAACATCTGTGCAGGCTTGGAGGCCCTCTGTGCAGGTTAGGAGGCCCTGTAAAAGTGGTCATCTCTGTGAGCATAAGAGACCTCCAAGTTATGAAAAGCTTTACCAATCTTCTAACAAAGAAGTCTTCTCAGCAGTCTTCTAAGAAATAACTAAGTGGGTAGGTTAAAAAAAAAACTCATCGGATTTCGGCCACTTTATTTTCAGGAGGCCCCCTTTTCAGCTTTTTAACTTTTTAACTTTTTATTTTATTTTTGAAAAAAAATCGGCCAAGGGGGGGGGGGGCCATGGCCCCCATGGCCCCCCCCCTTGTATCCGCGCCTGCTATAAGCAATAACCATGATAGTGTCAATACAAGAAGACAAGTACTCGGAAGTTGCAAAGCACACCGGGCTTTGAAGGGAAGTACCTACCTACCCATATTATGAGGCTTTTGCTTTGCGAGAGCCCAGTAGTCCATTTGAAACGGAAATATATTTTGAAACATCAAAATATACAAACTTATTGTTAGCCTTCACAGCGTCCATAAGTTCGCATATAATTGCTCTCCTGAGAAACGTACCGCATGGAGTTCAGCTTGCGTAAATTTTGTTCACATTGCATTTGCATAACACTAAATTTAGCCTCCTTGCGGTTTAGGACGAGCGAAACGGACGAGTTTAGGCGGATGTGAACCTTCCAATTTGAATACCCAGCCTGACTCTAGAATGAAGGGTTCTAGAGAAAGACCAGCTGCCGGGCAGCGCTGCCAAGCGCCATGAAGTAACCTCAGTGACCATGAAGTAACCTCAGTGACCTCCCTTCTGGTGATTCCGGACGCCCCTCGATTCCGAGTGGAGGCCGCGCGATTCCCGGTGGCTGTCGCGCAGTTCCGGGCGCCCCTGTCGGATGTCACCACTCTGCGCCCCCGGTCAGGTGTATACCCGTCCCTCTCCTACCGCGAACCGCCGGCCCTCGACCCAGTTCGCCGCCGGTGGCTGTTCGGCGCTCCGAGCTCGGCCCGTCGGCTGGTGATTCAGAGGCTGACCTGGCCCGGTGGCCAAATCGGGCCCCTGCGCCGTCCTACGCCGTCCGCCGCTCCCCGTGTCGGTCCGCCGTGTCCTGACGGCCTTGTCGGACCATGCTGTTCGGACTAGATCACGGCGCGGCGGCACGGCCGGCACCGAGGCGTCAGAGACACACAGCCGCCGTCACTGGCTCCATGACGTCACTGACACGGAGCGGTGACGTCACACCGTCTCTCGGACCGGGCGGCGCGGGCCGGCGCAACAGGTGATTTCCTCACCGGGCGGCCGCTGTCAGAGGCTGGACTCATGGCTGGCGGCCGTGTCGGAGGCTGGACGCGGCGGCCCACTCCAAGGTCGGGCAGGTACACGGGCCAGCCGGGCCAGCCGGGCGGCCGGCCGAGCCACCGGACCCGCGGTCGGTCGGGAACAAAGCGACGGCGGCGGCGGCGGCGGGATGGCTGCCCAGTGGCCTCACTGGGTACAGTGGGTAGCGGCGGAATGGCTGCCCACTGCCCAGTGGTCTGACTGGGTGGGTACAGTGGGTAGCGGCGGGATGGCTGCCCAGTGGTCTGACTGGGTACAGTGGGTAGCGGCGGGATGGCTGCCCGCTGACCAGTGGCCTAGCTCTGACCAGCTGCAGGCAGGGAGGGATGTCAAGAGGAAGCGGCGATTTGAGCCAGAGACATGGGTGACAAGGTAGACAGGAGAAACTCCATAACCTGAAACAGCACAGGAGTAAAGGTAATAACGAATGCAGTATACCATGGAAAACTATTGTATAACTCAGCACTCAAAGCCATCCGACCATGTCACAGAAGGTGGCGTTGAGAAGCCGAACCCTGTGCTTGTTTGGGGTGAATCCGACTGCCTGCTTCATCATCAGAGAAGCATTTTGATGTCCGGAGCCGACAGGCCGCTTTCCGGTCCGAATTCCAGCCGTGCCCTCTACCTGTGGTCGGTCTGTCTGAGCAGACGCCCGGGGCGGCACATACCAATGGTAGGCAGCAGCTAACCCGTCCCGTCCCGGCCGCGGCGCCCCACCTGCCGACCTGGCGCGCACGGTCCGGTCGGGTGAACCCGGACCCACCGCAACTGACCCGGCCAATGACACCCTACACCCATAGCGGCACCCGACACCGCGCCCCGAACGGCCCATCTGGATCACATGAGTATAGCCAATACATATGCGCGCCAGCAAGTGTTTTACGCCCGTAATGGGGGCGCCTTTCAAAGTCGCCCGGTTAATGTTGCAACTTGGGTTGGCTCAAGTACTGCAAAGCATCGTCAAGTGCATCGCCCGGGCTAATTATTTCGTGCATGTATTCACCCCATATTGCCTTTCATAGTCGCAGTTTGGATGGCCTAATGACCTATAAATAGTCGTGGTGGAGGGCCGCTGAGGGTCGAATCAAAGCAACAGGCAGCAGTGAGGACAGGACCACCGCGCCCCTGCTGACCCTCCCCCTCCTCCCCGCGACCTGACCTCGACCTCTCCCCTGCGCCCCGCGGGACGAACACCACACACTGGGGAGGGGCCCGCTCCCCCTGTGGCAGAGAGGGGGTCCGTGGCGCCAGCAAGGCGGCAGAGTTTGGCCGGCACCCAGCTGGCCCGGCGTTCAGCACACCAGCGCCCCAGGCTGGGGCAGAGGCCGCCGGCTATGAATGGCCGCCAGCGGGCCACCGACGACTCACAGTCGGCCGTGGGGCGGGGTAGGGGGTCACGAACTCAGGGGCGATAGGAACGGTGCAGAAAGCAGAAAAGTAACAGTCTGCTTTCCGTTACTATCATCATAATGGACATGGAACGAACAGAAGTGTAACAATCAGTAGGACTGAGTCAATGCTGCTGGCGCTCGAAAGAGGGTAGTAAGGCAGAGACAGAGTACCCTGAATTAGGTTCAGCCTGCCAACGACTCAACATCAATCCAGGACAAGCCACCCACCAATACCAGTCATATAGCCACCTCCCTCGCCCAACGGCGCCGTGACAGAGTCGTCAGTGCAGCCAAGTCGGCGACACTAAGCGCTCAATGAAAGACACACATTGTATCTGTGTGTCTTTCATTGTCGCTTTTATTGTCAGATGACGTGGATTGCTGAAAAACCATTTTATGGATGTTGTCCGAAATACATGATGATGATGATGATGATGATGACAGTCCTGTTTCAACTACCCCGCGCGAACCGAGTTGATGCGACCCGACTGACCGGTATACGCGAGTAGAACTACGGAAATACCAAGTTTCCGGTTGCGAACCGCCACAATCGGAATAGGCACCCGGCTAAATCGGAGTCAGCTTCAGCAGTAAGACTGAGCGCAGGACGGGATCCAGCCGGATCGGGCCATTAAAGTGGACTGGAGTGAGACTGACTGGACTGAGCAAGCCATCGCGGAGTCGAGTGACTGGACAGGCTGGGAAGGTGAGACCTCTCCCACTGTGACAGTTCACTAAGCGCTCTAAGCGCTCATCCTGAAAGTGATGGGCGCCGATTTCCCAGTACAGACACGGGCTTGTGTTAGCTATCACAGCGCCCGGACGCCACTTAACAGGTCGCCGATTCAGCAGCCGTCGCCAGGGAGCGGGTAGGCATTTATCTCAGTAAACAGAGCCGGCCAATCTGCAATCGATCAATCGCCGCTCGGGTCGGCCCATGCAGACGGCCGGCCAGCCCAGCACAGCGGCGGCCACCCAGCGCTGGCTGCAGCGAGTGCCGCTGTCCGGCGGCCCGTCCCCGCTGGCCGCCCGCCGGGTCCTTGAGTGGCTCCGCCGCCGGCTCGGAGGGAGCTGAGGCGGCGCGGCGCGCTCGTCCCGGGGTAATCCTGCCGTCCGGCGGCCGGCCCGCGGCGACTCCCTCGCTCGCCGACCGCCGCTGGACGGACGGAAATGCCGTCCACAGCGGCGGCGCTGAGCCGGCGAGTTCGGCACGCGGCGGAGGCACCACGGCAGCGTCGGCGGCGGCGCGGCGGCGCCACCGGCGGGCGCGTCGTTCGAACTCCACATGCCTGGACGGCGTCGGTGGCCGGCCGGCCGACCGGCCGCCCCCGGGCCCAGCTGGGGAGCCTGTCCTCTGACCCGGCCGCTTGCTGGTGGGACGGACAGCGCCGGGTCGGGCCGACGCCACGGAGCAGAGAGTCGCCGCCGCGGCGGCCGGGCAGATAACGGTGGCCAGCGCCGGTCAGGGTCGGCCCGAGCGTCTCCCCAATGAGGCCCACCTGCCCTCCACAGCGGCCGACAACAAAGCGTTCGGGTGTTTTCGCGGCCGGAGCGTCCCCCATACGGCGTCCCACAGGTCGGGGGTGATCACTCCTGTCCTCTGTCCGTCCCTCCCCTCTGCCCGGTCCCTACCCGCCCCGGCGGCGCAGCGGGACGCCGCACCGGCCGCGCGGCCACTTACTTGATGAAGTAGGGCTGTCCGAGGCTGGTGCAGGCGCGCTCCCAGCCATGCGGCAGCGGCCCCAGCTCGTCCGTGAAGTCGTAGCTCTGCTGTTTGAGATGGGCGTGCTGCTGCAGCTGCTGTGCGGCCGCGTACGTCTGCTGCAGAGTGGCCGGAGACGAGTGCGCCCGCATGTGGTTGCCCTGTCCGGCGGCGGCGCCGAAGCCGGGGCCGGCGTGCGTCGAGTCCGTGGACGAGTTGCGGCTGTGAGAGATGGACGACGACTTGGAGCCGTGCTGCGGCGGGTTGAAGAACGACTTGGGCAGCTTCCTCATGCTGAGCGGCACCGTCAGCGGCATGCTCGACTCCTGCTTCTTGAGCACCGAGTCGAACAGCGAGTTCATGAGCGAGTCCGAGTCGCCGCGCACGTGCAGCACCTGGCTGCCCTCCTTGCGCTCCAGGAAGTCCATGTCGGCGCTCTGCGCCATGCCGGAGCCGCGTCTGGGGCGCCGGTCGCCGCGCGCACTGTCTCTCACCGCCGCTCGGGCTCGGCGCCGGTGCCACACTGCCACCGCCGGCTCCGATCGGAATTCCGCCGCCGGCGCCGCCGCGCAGCCGCACCGGCCGCGCCCTCCGACAGAATGTAGTGCCGACGCCGGCGGCGGCCGCCGCTAGAGCTGCGCCCGGCGCCGGGACGGTTCCCCGGCGGGCGGGTTCAGGCCCATGTCGTCCCCTATCTCTCTGCGTGTCCACTAACACGAATGACGTCACGCATGTGGGCGGAGCTATGGGCGGAGCCTAACGCACGCGGCAGTCCAAGCCGCCATATTTGAATTTATATTTTAATAGAATCTTGCCGATATTTTGGGTGAAGTCAATTTATATGGATAGCTTGGTGACAGTTTAGCTATACGAATAATAATTTATTATGGATGTGCGACGTGCGTATATTCAGCTTGGAATTGCAATTAAAGTTCCGCACCGCATAGATTCGAACTCGGGACCTTTGGAATACTGCGCGGGCACGCTAACCACTACACTACCGCGACCGCGCGGCGGTCGGCGGCAGGGAGGCTGCGGAGACATGGGGGGACATTTTACGCTTTTGTGAAAAAAGCAAAAGATTTAGCGAAAAACACGTAATAGATGACTTGCAGAAAATTGTCTGCTCTTTCAGATAAGATACTTAGGTTTGATATATCTTGTGCAGACTTCATTCTACAGTGCTTCGAAAATCGCTCATTTACATGGGGATTGAACGGGGCTTCGAGACTTGACTCCAAATTACGTCACGAGCTGACGTCACGAAAAGGTAGAATCGCCGGACGACCCTACCTGGTATATAGGGCCTTGGGCGGGTTCAGCGGCGACGGCGGTGGCAGAGCTCAGCGGCGCCTCAGCCCGGTGCTGGGTGCTCAGAAAACATACACACGGCCCGTGCACAGGGGTCAGATGCGGGGCTCATGACACATGGAAACAGGCCGTGTACCGACACGCGACAAATCATCACATAGCAAAGGTGGCATCATCTGTACCACAGGCCTCTCCGCTCGGCCGCAGGTAGACGGCACCGGGCACACGGCAGCCCACGAGCGCAAAAACGGGCGCTGGTCCGCGGCCACCGTACCGCGCTGTGGTCACTACCTACCGGGCCAGGTCGGGCGGGCGGGCGCCGGTCACAAAAACTGGCGGTCACCGGACAGCGGCTGCGGCCACCGTCGGCGCTCCCCGGCGCAGCTGAAGGCAGGATGGGAACGAGGAGGCCCATCGTGACCTGTCAGGGTCATAGAGGATGGCTGAAGCTCAATGTCTATGAGTTGTCAATGACGACATTCCAATAACGTCAATAGCGGCATTCCAATACCAATAACATCATTCTATTTTTAGATGACCCATATTTGATAGCACAATCGCATCAAATTCACAGAAGGTGCACCTGCAATCTGCATCTGCCGGACAACGAAAAAACGTCATAGCATCGCATGGCTTACGCATCATCACAGCTATCTGTGCAAGCTATGTCGGAGATCCAGATTCCGCACATACCTTTGAAAAGCTCCTGTGCTGTATCTCGGCTTCCGAAATGTCCCACGCATTGTCTAATCGAGACGGCGGGTCTGGTTTGGACATTCCTTGCCAGAGCTGTGCCTATCTTCTTGAAATACCTGGTTGATGCTGCCTGACTACCAGATAGGTATTTGAAGATTGTTGGCAAGTTAAGCTTTGTAGTAATCTCTGACGTTGGTCCTACGTCAGTCATCACTAGCTGATTTGATGGGACAATCTGGTCTCTGGATGCCAAACATTGCGAGTTGAGACATAGAACGGCCTCGTAAACGTTCCACCTAACAGCCACAATTAATAACGACATTAAAAGCCATTTAGTACAACACCCCAGAAAGCAATCCCCCAAGCCGTATCGCGCATTATGGCTGCATATCAACATCAGCATCATGATAAATCAACGGCACAACAGCGAATTACCGGTACCGAGGTTATGTACTTAGACACGCCATGTTTACACAATTCATGGCAAGTTATTTCTATTGAGCACGTGAAACGCCCCCACCGACAGTCAATCCCCCTCTGTAAGTGATGTGAGACCATACATCATCGGAGAAGCACGAGGGTAGTCCGTGGTTCCGACCTGAGCAGCCATTGATCGCAGGCACGAGCTCGGTGCAATAAATGCAATAGGGGCGGGTGATGTACGAGCGCTGATTGTCCCGGAACAGACTGAACAGGCGACGCTAGACGACACTTGGTCACTTAGGAAGGCACTGCTCGACCAAGTAAAGACGCCTGACCTCGTCTGGCTGGCTAGGAGTAGTCGACAATGAGACAAATCGAATGCATTCACCATGTCCATGAGGTATCGGTAACACCATCATAGTTGTATCGTTACAAATGAACGCTGGTACAACTTTTAGTTCAAAAATTACTGCTCCCGGGCGCAATCCCAGATTCTATCTGTGCGTAACTTGGGTATAATTGTCATCGCCATTTATTTTGAAATTTTATTCATCAGAATATCTTTGAACCAATAACGGACAACGGTAGTAAAAGGGAGGTGCATATTGCATAATCCCTCATATCAGTAAAGTCAAAACAAAACTTCAAGCACCCTTTCCACCGGTGGATTAATCAGCTGAGCGACAGGTCACCAGCTCCCGCAGGTCGGTACGCCCACCCCTGCTATCGGCACAATCGGCAGCTCCCGGAAGGCCGAGTCGGTGTGGGTGTGTTTCTGGTGTACGGACCGGGGTACACTGATCGGTGCCAGGCTGCGCCGGCGCTACCTCTGTTCTCAGCTGCAGCACGGGGAAATATCCGTCCGGGGTCAGCTAAGAGGAGCGGGCCGGCGCCGCCTGTCACTGTCGGGCGGGGGACACGGCACGGGCCGCACCTGGACAGACGCACGGGACACGGCACCGGGCCGCACCTGGGCTTACGCAAAAGACACGCCAAGGGCTGCACACCGACGCATAGATAGGACACGGCGCTGGCCTGTACTACATTGACCAGGGCACGGCCACGGGAAACAGCGCTTGTCAATGTTACCTAGCGAGGAAAGGTCGGAGCACCAGATTCGGGATAAAGCTGGTCTATTGCGCCGGTTAGGAGTGTGAATGAGGGGGCACCGGACAAAACCCACTAATTCAGTGAATTAGTAGATGCCGTATCAGGCAGACAGTGCGCTACGGCTGAGCCTGCGAGTGCGAGAGACACTCCAAGACGCCGTATAACACTGAACGTTCGCGACACAACTACGGCGCACCTAAACGTGCGTAAACGGACAGCGGTAGTCCAATTTGTTACGAACAATGAACCGCCTCTCCCATCGGGCTCCTGCAAGGCACCAGCCACCAAGACACATTCCGATAAATGTTTCAAACATTCTTCACTCGTGAAATGAAAAAGAAAATCCGCTCCGGAAAGCTCAACGAATTCTGCCGTATTATAGCACATGCAACCGGAAACCTTTGCACTGCAAAATTTCTCCCTCATCGGGCCTTCCCGGGAGAAGTCCAAGTCATGTGTTCGAACTGCGGATACCAATTAGTTCAGTTTCCGATTTCTGGCAATCAGTGACAACGAAATACGGCCGAAAATCCCCCATACAATCCACGAGACATGATTGCAGACATAGGGTCACGCCAACAAAGTTGCTACTACAGGGCTAAGTTCGTACCTCATCGAAAAACGAGCGTCGTAAAACAAATCACTATCTAGCACATACTTTCATCACTGATGAGCACTCGATTTATGGTTTGTTTCGTCGGAGACCGAAACATGAGCAAACGGATCTTCCCAGTAAAAGATGAACGCAAGAAACGCGTGTGCGCAATGAACATTGAGCAATGCGAGGATTGAGACGCAATCAACTATGTTTAAAACACACAGGACTTCTCCCGGCTAGGGTCCGCAGTCGACACTCTACCTGAACATACATTGAAAGAACAATACAAGTCAATACGATCAGTAGCACAACTACACACTACACAATGCACATTGTAACAACAGCGCACACCCGTGTCTCTACCATTTCCAAACCCGTGAGCATCGCATGTCCAGCACCCGTGCTCCGCTCAGCTAACCCGGTTAGCGTATTTCTGACATCATGACCGCAGCTGCTGAAAACAAAGACATCTCAGGTGCAGGGCTCGGTTCGCACGTATTCACCGCTCGGCTGGCACGGACTGGAAACTAACGGGGCACTCGTGAGATCACCGGCCGGCTGATCACGGGACCGACAAAACGCGGCCTCCAGGCGGCAGTGTTCCATTTTTCAGACTTTTTGGTGGCAAATCACACCTAATGTAGAAAATACTTTCATCCCTAAAATATGAATGACCGACTTTGCTTCGTCTCTGAAAAATGTTTCGTTTATTCCCAACAGCCAGTTTACATGTCACTTGACAGTTGCTGCACCCTCATCCTTTTGTTTCACACCATGTCAAGATCCTGACATGAAATCCTGGTTTATCAGTTGGCATAGAAATTGGCATTACACCATTTTGCAAAAATACTCCAGTTATTTACTTTCCTTTTTCTCATCCTAGGATTTTTGTTTCTTCATCGGCACACCTAACCAAAATCAAATTTTAGAACACTGCCAGGCGGCCTTCGGTGCCGGCCGCCCGTCGGTGGATTCTAGGAAAGATCCAGGCAAATCGGGCGTGACAGGCTAGGTCGGATCCGAGAAATACTGGAATATAAAACTGATCAGCTGCAGTTGGTAGCGCGTCACGCGTTTCTTTTTTAGTGTTTATTTATAAATTCTACCTGTCTTTTGCGTGACTTATACGATGCATTATCAAATAAGCGGCAGTAAAAGAATACAGCTGCATGCTATGTGCGAGCCCACCAGTACCAAGGCCGCAGCGTCTTCTATGCACGGCTGTTGGCACTGGTCATAAGACCTCTTGTAAATGGTACCTCCACGCCGCAGAGAAGCCACCGGAGTGAATTTCATACTACGAGGGTGAGAGAGAAATACAGCGAGAGCCGAGAGGTCAGTTTTCCCAGAGCTTCTCACCACATCGGACGGAAAGCGTGACCGGAGGATAGGCAAACATCGGGCCTTGAGCAGCAATAATCTCCTCCGGCCATCGCTGAATCTCCTTGAAGCAAACCTGTGCCGTGTGCACGTCTTGGCACATGAGCCGTCAACTCTTTCTCATGCAGCCGACCCCAGCCCGGCCCGGTCCCTAACACTCGTGTCGAACACACTCCCGCCGACCTCTGGAGACCGTCGGTAGTCGGGCCGAGCAAGTGGCAGTGCTGACGAAACACCCAGCCGGCCGGGGTGACGCATGGCGCCGCCGTGTCGCCCTGCGCCCCTCCCGAGGGACTAAGCTCTGCCGGGAAGAGGGTACCCCCTACCCGGTTAGTTCACGGTGCATAGTGAGGGCCAGAGAGGGAGTGGTGGAGTCTCATTGTGCATGAGTGTCACTAAAGCTGGCAGTGAGTAATAGAGGTGAATGAAACGGTATTTGGTGTATTCGTTGAACTTCATGTTGAAAACGTCTTTCGTGTTAAATAAGTACAATGGCTACAGCTTTGCAGCCACAACAATCCACAGCTCGCCACGAGAACAACATAAATATCACATTGGGTGCGGTTGCTGCAACAGAACCGCCAGTGCACAGCGGAAGCTCACATCAGAGGTTAGGCACGCGCGGCGCCTGCCTCGGCCGGGTGATCTGCGAAAAGCCGGCAAATCAGCGCTACTAGCGACATCTACGCAGTCTAGCTACCGACGGCAGCGCCTCTAGCGGACACGGACGCTACCTCGGCAGGCCGCGTCACGTGTAGTCGAGCTGGCCGAGGCCGAGCCCGTCCGGGTCGCGCCACGCCACCGTGATGCCGTAGTGCTCGAGCAGCTGCAGCAGGATGTCCATCTCGTCCAGCAGCTCGAGCCGCTCCATACGCCGCACGTCGGCGGAGGGCAGACGCTGCAACACGACGTCCATTCTCCACACTTTGGCGTCATCCCAGCCGGCGCCCGTGAACCTAAAGGCACACACGAACATTTCAATACGGAGCCGTCAGAAGTCAGGACAAAATGGGCTCAAAGTATGACGAAAGAGGTAAAAACCATAAAGAATTGATTTTGAGCCAATAAATTGAACATACTTTGTTTTACATGTATATTTATAATTTAGATTAGAACTAGAATATATTAGATTTGATAGTGACCAATACCGCAACTGACAATGACATCCAAATCACGGAACAAGTCAAAATCGCGACTACCTTCTCACTGCCACCGAGTGAAACGTGACGTTACCTTTGCATCTGAGTCTGGTCAGAGTTGCAGGCCTCAATGCCGGCCAGGTCACAGCCGCGGCCCCGGACATTCTGCACCAGAATCTGGCCGAACCGGTCATCGACGCCCACCTGGCGGCAGATGAAGGAACCACTAGTTTACAGCATCGCCACGGTAAGAACAACCGGAGAGAAAACGACAGCAGTTTAGCTTCGAGGTCAAACGAAGTGGGTGCAGACTGCAGGGACACCAAAGCTGGACATCTTGAAGACCATAAAGGAGATAGCCTGTTGAGGCGCCAGGCTGATGGCATCAGAAAGAGTAAAGCAATGTAGGCCGACATGACACGGACAGTGTCCACAAAACAGCACTGGACCACAACGCCCAAAACGCCCTGCTGGACACCCATTTTCCCGGTCCAACCAATGTAGTAAACCTTTTGAAGTTTAAAAATTATAATTCTCTCAATAAAAAATCACTCCCCCCCCCATTCTCCCCCACATCCCGCAACTCCCTTAACAACCCATACCACCCATTCCCACCATTCCATGAGACTACTTACCATTTCATAGTTGACAAAGTAAGCGGTGCGCAGTGTGCTGGCCAGATGTGAGAGCAGCTCATGGCAGGCGCGGGATTCCATATACACCAGGACACACTCGGCCAGTACAATGGTGGGCCGGTCGGGCCTCAGACAGCACTCCTCCAGGGCGGTCCGTACGTCGGCCAGTCGCGCCAGGTCCACCGGAGCCAGGTGGTAGTCCTCGGCGTGCAGCGCGGCGCGGCCCACTCGTACCTCACCCTCTGGGGAGGAGTGGGACGGTGGTGAGCGGTGGTGAGCGGTGGTGAGAGGGTTCCGGTGAAGGTATTGTGGGACTACACATGGGTACGGCTCAGACGTATCAGACCTTCGTCAGCGTGAAACAAACTAATTGAAACCAGGCCGAAAGCACAGCAAGGTCACGTCCTATTTGATAAAATCATGGCGCGATTTGTCACGTTTTCTTATGTCCTCTACTACATGAACAGACCAAAGCACCGCAAATAATTCAACAGCAATAACATCGTCGGTGCAGACTCAGTAACTGTAATACAGCAACGGACAACATCCATTAAAAACGAGGCACCAATCCATTAGGTGTTTCGTGCAGTTTATCATTTCGCATTACCCGTCCTCGGAATTATCGCTCAAGGAAAATTGCTTTAAAACAGACATTAACATCACCGCTGTTTCCCCAACACCTCACGCCAAAATAGAGCGTTCTGGGGCATTCGAATCGGGTGGGGACAAACTTTGCAAGCTTTCTGTGCTTTAAAAGCACAAAATGTTGAAAGCTATGGACCGTAACCGGACAAATCTTCGTATGGCAATTCTTCGTCGCGCAATTCCTCGTCCGCATTTCTTCGTCCGCAAATCTTCGTCGGCGCATTTATTCGTGTCGCATAACTTCGTCTCGCATTTCTTCGTAAGCGCAAATATTCGTAGCGCATTTTTTCGTATCCGCATTTCTTCGTACGCGCATTTCTTCGTCAAGCATTTTTTCGTCCACGCATTTCTTCGTCTACGCAAATCTTCGTCCGCATTTCTTCGTCCGCGCAAATCTTCGTCTGCGCATATCTTCGTCCGCAAATCTTCGTCCCCGCAAATCTTCGTCCGCAAATCTTCGTCCGCATTTTTTCGTCCACGCATTTCTTCGTCTACGCAAATCTTCGTCCGCATTTCTTCGTCCGCGCAAATCTTCGTCTGCGCATATCTTCGTCCGCAAATCTTCGTCCCCGCAAATCTTCGTCCGCAAATCTTCGTCCGCATTTTTTCGTCCACGCATTTCTTCGTCTACGCAAATCTTCGTCCGCATTTCTTCGTCCACGCAAATCTTCGTCCCGGCAAATCTTCGTCCGCAAATCTTCGTCCGCAAATCTTCGTCCGCAAATCTTCGTCCGCAAATCTTCGTCTGCAAATCTTCGTCCGCAAATCTTCGTCCGCATTTTTTGTCCACGCATTTCTTCGTTCACGCAAATCTTTGTCTGCGCATACCTATTTTCGTCCGCAAACCTTTGTCTGCGCTATCTTTGTCTCCGCAAACATTCGTCCACAAATGTGGTTCAATAAAACCATGAAGAAATATCAGGCCATCAAGTGAATGACGAATTTAATGCATGGAATGGATGATCGAAACTTTTGAAGTCAGGTAGATGAGGTCTGTCAGGTGAAGCTCTTGTATTTGGGAGCCGACAATTGTAACATTCCATATCATTTGTGTCCCGGTCCCGGACATTCTTTTTTTCGCGGTCGATGAATGACAATATAATCTCTTGTGCCCTCGCGGTCGCCAGCATAGGCGGCGGAACGGGGAGGGCACCAAGGCACCGTTCCCCTCTAATTTTGGCCTTTTAACAGTAGCCCCATGGGCGTTGCATGGAAAGAATGGGACTAAAAGTCGGCAGTGCCGTGCCCCCCCCCCCCTAATTGAAGGTGTTCCGCCGCTACTGCTCGCCGGACCTATTTGTTTTCTACATACACGCCGGCCGAGGGGGGGTACGACCCCCCCATCGCCGTTTCGCCACTGGTGGAGCTAGCGCGTCGCGGAAGGAAAAAAACGAGCGTGTGCGCCGTTACGAGATGCAGAGATTAATACCCGATTTTAAGGCCTTCTAGGTCAGGGGTCGGCTTACGGCCCGCGGGCCGGATCCGGCCAGGTGGGTGACGGTTGGATCCGGCCCGCGACCATCTGACGTCCGGCCCGCGGCTGGTATCAGCGACTTACATCGTGTTCTGGCCCGCGGTTCTTTCAGAAATCGACTCCGATATAAAAGTGACTTAACCCGGCACCGCCTGGGCTATTTCCGTACCCACGACAGCCTGGGGGGGGGGGGGTCGGATCCGACCCCCCCCCCCTGTTATCTCGAGAACCAATGGTCGCATCGAGCCCCGCGAGGCGGCGTTCGAAAGGTCTCTACGAGACCTTCCCAAAGCACTCTTAAGATTTTAAGATTGAGGTCAACTTTCGGGTCAAGGTCAGGTCAAAGGTCAAATTCTGGGGTTTTGCATGATTAGGCTTACGGACAGCGGAATCGATAGCTGCTGCTCGAAACTCACCAAAAATGACCTCAAAGGCCTAGTGAAGGTACCATGTGCGTATAGGGGTCATACTAAGTACGGGTCAAGGTCAGGTCAGGTCACGAAAGGTCACGGTTCTCACTTTCTGCTACATGGGCGTGCGACACATGTTTTATGGCTTATTTTTCACGCCGAATACGATGGTAATGGTTATATGTGACCCCAAGTCACTGTGCTGGTGATAAGTGTGCATTGAAAGCGTAAAAAATCGTTTATACCATACATAACTAAACGAGGGCTGAGAAAAAAGGTCAAATTTTCAACTTTTTATTTTTGACATAAAAATGCACTTTTCTAGACGAGCTTTGTCCCAGGAATCTAGTGGTGTCATTTATTTTCACATGCGATGTTCAGAAGTGCCTCTAATTCACGAAAATGCTTATGACGTCACCATGCCCTATGCATGTTGAAGCTATTTTTTACAATTTGGGGGTCAAAAATCAAGATAGAAAGTTGAAATTTGGGACATCTAATGTTCTAATAGAGCTCTATAACATATATTCCGGTTTTTTGGAAATTCTCAAAATTTTGTATTTTATTAGCTGTTTTCCAAAAAATGTAGTTTTTTGAATTTTTAGGGGTGAAAAACGCATTTAATGGAAAATCCGAGATAGCCATTTTAAAGAACTCGTTGAGCTGCGTCTATTCATGTCCTTAATTTGCAATTTGCTTTAAACCCTGATTTTTGGCGATTTTTTAAACATTTACCACTTTTTGACTAAAAACGCCATGTAGTTACATCACTAAAATCGATATATCTCAAAAAAATTTGAAAACTTTTTCTTAAAAATTGCACAGAACACGTCAAATTGATGGGGGAGAAGGTATGCCAAGTTTTAAGTTGATAGCGTAAGCGGTTCTTGAGTTATTTAAGAAAAAACGGAGGGGGGGGGGGGTCGGATCCGACCCCCCCCCCCCAGGCGGTCGCGGGTTAAATGTGCTTTGGCACAATAGTTCTTCCTTCGCACACTTCATGAGTTTATAAACACCATTTGCCCGCCCCCCCCCCCCGGCCGGCGTGTATGTAGAAAACAAATAGGTCCGGCGAGCAGTAGCGGCGGAACACCTTCAAATAGGGGGAGGGGGCACGGCACTGCCGACTTTTAGTCCCATTCTTTCCATGCAACGCCCATAGGGCTACTGTTAAAAGGTCAAAATTAAAGAGGGGAACGGTGCCCCGGTGCCCTCCCCGTTCCGCCGCCTATGCCGGCGAGGGTACAAGAGCCCAGTAAACATGCCGACGTCGGCCCGACGTCGGCATCTCGGCATCGGCATGCCGACGTCGCCCCGACGTCGGTCCAACCTCGGCTCGACGTCGGCTGGATGTCGGATATGCCCGCATGTACTACCGACGTCCAGCCGAGGTCCAACCGACGTCGGGCTGACGTCGGACCGAGATCAATTGCTGAGGTCCAGCCGACGTCGGTTCGAATCCCATCGCCGGCTGATGCTTTTGGCGTGTTGTCCCAGTAAACATGCCGACGTCGGCAACTGGGGGGCTCGAATCCCGCCGCCGGTTGATATTTTTGGCGCGTTGTCCCAATAAACATGCCGACGTCAGCCCCGTCGGTCCAACGACAAACGACCTCGTCAACCTCGCCGAACGACCTCGGCCCGACGTCGGCTCGACGTCGGCTCGACTTCGGCTGGACGTCGGAACATGCGGGCATATCCGACGTCCAGCCGATGTCGGGCCGAGGTTGAACCGACATTGGGCCGACGTCGGCATGTTTACTGGGAGATTATATTGTCATTCATCGACCGCGAAAAAAAAGAATGTCCGGGACACAAATGATATGGAATGTTACAATTGTCGGCTCCCAAATACCATAGCTTCACCTGACAGACCTCATCTACCTGACTTCAAAAGTTTCGATCATCCATTCCATGCATTAAATTCGTCATTCACTTGATGGTCCGATATTTCTTCATGGTTTTATTGAACCACATTTGTGGACGAATGTTTGCGGAGACGAAGATAGCGCAGAAAAAGGTTTGCGGACGAAAATATGCGCAGACAAAGATTTGCGGACGAAGATTTGCGTGGACAAAAAATGCGGACGAAGATTTGCGGACGAAGATTTGCAGACGAAGATTTGCGGACGAAGATTTGCGGACGAAGATTTGCCGGGACGAAGATTTGCGTGGACGAAGAAATGCGGACGAAGATTTGCGTAGACGAAGAAATGCGTGGACGAAAAAATGCGGACGAAGATTTGCGGACGAAGATTTGCGGGGACGAAGATTTGCGGACGAAGATATGCGCAGACGAAGATTTGCGCGGACGAAGAAATGCGGACGAAGATTTGCGTAGACGAAAAAATGCGTGGACGAAAAAATGCTTGACGAAGAAATGCGCCGACGAAGAAATGCGGATACGAAGAAATGCGCTACGAATTTTTGCGCTTACGAAGAAATGCGAGACGAAATAATGCGACACGAATAAATGCGCCGACGAAGATTTGCGGACGAAGAAATGCGGACGAAGAATTGCGCGACGAAGAAATGCCATACGAAGATTTGTCCTGGAATCCTATGGACCTACCGTCACTCTTAAAGGCCGTCATGAGTCCTTTCTGTCGCTGAATGGCCATCAGTTTGCGCGCCGTCACCGCCGAGAAATCAAGCTCCACGAAGTTGCTGAAGCGGCAGCCAGCACTCTTCAGCCTCCAGTAGAGCGTGTCGAAGCCGGCGCCGAGATTGAGCACCTGCGCGTCGGCGCCGCAGCGCGCCAGGAACGCCTCGGTCAGCCGCTGGACGGCCATGACCCGCGCGTAGTAGCCGCGGTGGATCTCGGGCGCCTTGCGCTCGTACTGGCGCACCAGGTGGCTGATGAACGGGTCCTGCCAGTAGCCGTGTCGCACGGCGCTCAGCTTGCACACGCTGGCGTCGTCGTTAGTGAGGATGATGCCTTCCTGGCCAATGGTGCCCTCAGAGCGAGAGGCCATCGCAGGGTCAGAGGCAGAGACGGATTTAGAGACCTGATGGAGACAGGTGATCATTGGTCAGAAAGGTCTGAGAAAAACCTGAAGGCTGTTCACGGGCCCTCTGTGCGGTCGGACCGTACACAGGCTCCAAGCTCCACCCACTGAGTCCCCACGTCAGCCTTCCGTCACAGCACACAGCGACTGCTTTGGTCGGTCGGTACTCGGTACTGCCCACAGTGATGGCTGTGTGCGGTCCACCGCACGCAGCCGTGTGACATCATACCGGCTACCCATCTCCTGCTGCCTACCCCCACGCCTGCTGCACACTCCGCACACACCAAACTCAGCGGTTTGCGGTGCCTGTTAACACCCCTCTGAATTACTCAACTGCCTGAACATATGGTTTAGTTGTTATACAATTATGAGTTTGGTGTGTGTGCTTAAAGGAAATATACTACCACTTCTTATATGAAATTTTGAGCTGGAATAGCAGTTTTGCAGGTTAAGCTGAGACTAGCACAAATCAGGAACTTTGATACCCCAATGATCACCCTAGGCAAATATATTCCATTTCTCATTCTAAAATGAGTGCCTTGTAGAGGTAGGTATGTGTCACTTGTAGAAGGCAAGAATGCAGCCACCTATCACAGAGGCTAAGCTCAGTCAATCTGTATGCAGTTGCTTTTGAACGATGTTACCCATATGATTGGTACCTAACCGTATAATAAGCTTCTGCGCCATGACCATTTAGCCTCTAACAAAGATGGAATATAGTTCTTCCTGTATGAACATAGTTATAAAATGCCTTTAATAAGCATATATTATTTTACCGATCATTTTAGGCATTAAAATCATAAAACTGTAGCAAAACTGATTTGAGAAGTGTGGTAGGCATAATTCCAATTGGCGATGTTCACCGCTAGGGTCAGGTAAGATACCTATTCACCAAGGCTGATTTTGAAAAAAAAAGCAAAATCACACTTAAACCACGATACATATGATGGAGTTACTGGTTACAACGAAAATGATTCAAGAAAAAAACGCACGAAGGACTGCCAGCCGACGACCTTCTCCCACGAGAGTTCGATGACAACTGAGAGATGAATCAAGGTTGATGTTTATATCGGCTTAAAATACTGGCAAATGAAAACAGTCAAATCTTACATTTTCTCAAGCAATTTGCGACTTATGCGCAACAAAAATTTAAGTTTGACATAAAAAATGAAAATCAATTAAAGTATCGATCTATTCTGCTTTTCATACTGTTCAATTTATGATGCGTATCACCAAAAAACAAAATTCAACATGTAAATAATTAAAAGAAAGTGCAGTACTTTAAATCAGATAACAACACATTAACACGGGTGAACGAGTCCAGGGTCAGAGTCGAGTCATTCCCAATTTAATCCAGAGTCCCGTGTGGATTTGTGCAATATTATGAAAATGAAATTTCCCTGCATAATTTCCAAAGCAAGGCTGGGTCAGGGTAGGGATAGGGGGAAGGCCTCACAGTTCTTATTGCGTAAACTGTAAAGTGCAATCTATGTAACCCAAACCGTCTGGGAAAGAGGTTTTAGTACACAGGCCCTGGCGGATCAAGATACACCACATGACAACCTGACTTGCAGGCTTCTATTGCTTGCTGTAAGGGAATTACCTCTCTAGGGACTAGTGCCTAGTGCCCTGGGAGTTACGTAAATCAGGTATTCCATTGGGTGCTATAGGTAAATATGTCAATGTGGAGTTATCTGCTATAACTGACTGCCATGTTATGAGCTATGTCTCTACCCTTGTTGCAGGGCAACCATTGATACCTGCAGCCTGCAGATGTGTAAATGCATCTGTTATGGCTGGTTTCATCAGCAACAATTATATGCCTCTCTGCCATCTTCCTGGCATATCTGTTCTTATCAGAAGACATGATCACACCTGGTTCAGTCCAGCCACTGGACCCAGATGCCTTCTCATCTCTGTTCTGTGAAGGAGCCACAGCAGCAGCTCGCCAGTGCATTATCACAAACCTCTGTTATCTTCCAGCTGAGAGACAGTTTGTGATGATTGAGTCAGCCAACAGCCGCTTCATAGGCATACACAACTCAAGTGACCTGCAGCCTCTGCTGAAACTGAACCCGGTAGTCGATCACAACCTGTTCGACCTGAATCTGATACCTGTGACGGCCAAATGGCTGTCTGTAAGACACGCGGTTTTCCATCGCGGCGACTTCTTCGTCTTTGAGCCGTTCAAACCGGACAACCTGATGCACGTGTTGCATGACGACTTGCTGCCGGCGTACCTGACGATGTACAAGCTGTGTTACGGAGAGATGGGTGAATGTGTGCGCCGCTGGCGGCCGCTGCTCCGCTCTGACTCTCTGCCGTCGCCGCTAGCCCCGCTGTACGCCGCTCTGTGGGACAATCCACCAACGCCGACCGGTGAACTGGATCCATCGACACCTCACTGCTTCGAACGGAGCCACCTAGGACTGCGGTCCGACTCACTCTGGTACCAGTACGGGTTCGAGCGGCCCCAGTCGCCGCTACCCACACCGTTCCTGCATCACGAGCACCTGGACGATTTTAGAGCTCACCTACTATGGCGGTTGGGAGCGACGGTCGGTAGTGGAGACCCGCAGCCGTCACAGCCGGGGTACGTGCTGCTCCTCTCTCGAACCGAGTCCCGGCTCATTCTGAACGAGGCCGCGCTGTCGGTGGCGCTGGTGGCGCGGCTCGGCCGACCGGTGCGCCGTCTGGCTCTGGAGGAGACCTCTTTGTCGGCGGCGGCGGCGCTGGCGGCCGGCGCCGACCTCCTGGTGGGGATGCACGGCGCCGGCCTGGCGCTGGCGCTGGTGCTGCCGCCTGGCGGCGCCGTCCTGGAACTATTCCCGTACGGTCTGCGGCCGGAGCGGTACCGTCCCTACCAGCGGCTGTGTCAGCTGCGCGGCCTGGGCTACCGCGCCTGGGTGAACACCGACCCGGCATCCAGCGTGGTGCCCGGACCGGAGGCGACCTCAGATCGGGGCGGGATCGGCCACCTGGACGATGCCGAGCGGAAGCGCGTGGAGACGCTCCAGGAGGTACCGGAGACACTGTGCTGCTCCGACCCCGCCTTCCTCTACCGCGTCTACCAGGACACTATGGTGAACACTGCGGCCGTCTCCGCTGCCGCAGAGGCCGTCCTGGCCTCCGCTCGGCCCCGCCGCCGGAGGACACGCGGCGCACTCTTCTTCCCCGGCCCCGCGCGCCACCTGACGGCTCAGGCCGAGGGTGACTCACGGCTGATCGAGTGGCGGCCGCCGGTGAACGCCGCGCCGGAGGCGGTGTCGTACCGTGTGTGGGTGCGGCAGGGGGAGCGGGTGGGCGAATACAGGGTGCGCCGGCCGCGGCTGACCGTGGCCGCGGAATGCGGGCTCTGCAGACTCCAGGTGTGGGTACGGACTGAGGTGGACGGCCGGACCGGACCGGTGGCGCATGAGACGTTTGAACTGAACGAGCCGCCGGCGTGATGATTGTGAGGTGGAGTAAAGGTGTGTGGTGATATCGCGGAGTGTGAAGTGTGATAGCTGATAAGAAGTGAGAACGTTATGCGATTTGCTTCAATTGTGTGTATCGATACCTGGCATGTACGGTGCTACTGGCTACTTGTGAACTTGTAAAGCCTACTTGTGAACAACCAGTAGGCGGGCTACGTCCGTAGCAGACGACACGGTGCACACGCACACGCACCGTGTATCTGCTACGGCGATAGCCACGCCCGCTGGCTGGGGAGCTCGGACCGCCTTCCACATTGATGGTCCGGTGCCTCCAGATGCACAGCGAGGCCGTTACTCGCAGTACCACGCGCGGGAACTTTTGTGAAAATAGGTATGGAGGAAGACTGCCGCTGGCTCCTCGACGCTGCTGTGACCGCATGGTGTGACCAGCGGAAAGCCTCTCGGCAATAATATCGTTCGTTCAGCCTCAAACTCTGTAAAGGGTGACCTGGATGACCCTGACCGCTGCGCCTACATTGGGGTCCGGCCGGAACGGGGTGAGAAGGGTCATTGATGTCACCCAACTAAACCGTAACACGGTGCCAATCGTGTTGGGAGTCATCCCCCCTCCTAATTGTGTCACCCGAGGGGCTCGCTGTGTGCTGTGCTTTATCGTCGATATAAGCAGACCTTGTCACCGAGCTTGGTGCAAACGTAGAGACGGCACTGAGCGGCCGCTCGGATGCAGGGGATGACGCCCAAGGCGCAGAGTACCGCGAGCTGCGTATCCGCACCGACGCATACAAGGCAGACCTTGTCCATCTTTCCTCAGACTTCCTTCTCCGGCTCTGGGAGGAGGTGGATTTCGCTCTACTTTGTAGAGTCATGTGCATTGTGTAGTGAGCCGCCCGGCTTATGTCGTGGATCGGATGCTGTAAAACCGAGCAGTGACCTGAGGTATGGTGCCGTGGAATCCACATCATATTGTTTGTTCTCACGTCGTGCATGACAACGTTTGAGCTATGCCATATGTTACGGTACATACCTATGTTTTCATACATGCTCGCGAATCTCATCAGTGCCTTCAATCATGAATCATGTGAGAATGCATGTCAAAAGGTTGCAGGCTTTTGTACCCAAACGAACAAACGGAAGTGTACCCAATTCATTATTATACTTGTTTCTTACTGCCAGTCAAAGTAAGATTGATGGTACTTCAGGGCTAGATGAATTGGACCGTCTAACTACTCGTTTCCTCACGTGTACTAAAAAAATACTCCATAGTCGGTCAAAGAGGTACGAATGTGGTCGCCGGCAGTTGTGTCGGGTTCAGCGGGATAGCCCAGCAGCGATAACGGGAAAGGCCGTACGTACAGGGTGGACCAAAAAGGATGGAAACATTTTGATCTCGCATAAAACATACATTATTGCATGCATGTAACTGGAAATGGTACCAAACGAGAGTACATTTCGTGGAAATTCATAACGGCATCACTCTCATTTGCTTTCTCTCGTTTTCAGTCTCTCACAGCAAATGTTCGAAGAGACCACCTTCGCGAGACAGGCACAGAGCGGCCGGTCTGGTGGCTGACGCGATAGGCGGACGACACATGTTCGCTGGTATGGCTCACACAGTCTTGGTGATCGCTCTCTTCAGGTCACAGAGACCTTCCTTGTAGACCTGGCCCTTGAGATGAGATGATAAAGAAGTCACTGCACAGCAGCAAGGTCACCGAAATGGCGTGCCCTCAGCGGAAAAGGAATCGTGGGTCCACTTTGGTTCGAGGAAGGGAGCGGCGACACCGTGACCGTCAATCAACAGCGCATACCAGGTGGCGCTGAGGAAGTTCTGAGAGCGAGTCCAAACGAGCATGGCAGTCTCATCATAGACCTTATGTGGTTCCAGCAAGACGGTGCGCCTCCTCAAATCGCAAAAAACAACGCTCAAGTGCATCGAAAGCCACTTCGGTGACCGGCTGATATCCCGCGGTGCCAGTCGGAACTGGCCTACCTGCTCATCCGACCTGATCCCTATGGATGTTTTACTGTGGGGTCATCTCAAGGGCCAGGTCTACAAGGTAGGTCCAGAAAGCCTCTGAACTGAAGAGAGCGATCAGCAAGGCTGTGTGAGCCATACAAGCGGGCTATCGTGTCAGCAGCCAGGCTGGTCGCTCTGTGCCTGTCTCGCGAAGGTGGTCACTTCGAACATCTGAGCTGTGAGAGACTGAAAACGAGAGAAAGCATATGAGAGTGATGCCATTATGAATTTCCACGAAATGTACTCTTGTTTGGTATCATTCCCAGTCACATGCATGCAATGATACATGTTTTATGCGAGTTTAAAATGTTTCCATCCTTTTTGGTCCACCCTGTAAGTAACGCTCATTGAACCAGAACTGTCCCTGGCTGTCATATCCACGTCATACACAACCTGCGTCGCGCCTCACTGATGTTGGATGCTCAAAAGTGGACTGTTCGAAAACGCCGTGCTGCCCAATCTACGCTTCACACGAGCCTACCCCAGCGAATGACAGTAGCCAAGATACTAGTAATTGCATCCCTACATCGAAATTGGGCATTGGCAGTTAGCAAACTGGGCACATATAACAGTTCGTCACTTCCCCTACCCGAACAACCAGAGTACGTTCCAACAGAGCACCTCAGAGTACGCCGCCCATTCACAAGGTTAAGATTTATTTAGCAGAACATTCCATTCCAGCACACTGGCATAGTAAGAGTGGCGCGGGTCGCGACCGGCCGGCGGCGCTACGGCCGCCCCGTCCGCGGCGCTCCAGGTCCGCCCACAAACGGCACTCGCTCACTCGGCTCACTCGCGTTCACACACACTCCGTATGTATGTATACCGTATAGCGCGCGGCCCGGCACGCCCACTCGGACCGCGCCGTGCTCACCCTGTGAGGCCGAGCTCGCGCACACGCGCGCCAGAAAACACCAGCGAACGCAGTTTATATCTACACGCCGAGATAAACGACCATATTATGCAAGTATGTACACTATCTGCAGGGCCGGCCCGTCCGGGCGGCCAGACACGATATTCCTGCCAACAGATCTGGAATGTACACTGTCAAACGGTCTCACAGTCTCACAGTCACAGGTTCACAGTCTCACGGCGCTCACAGTTCCACGGCCGCTCTCTCGCTGACGCGCTCGCACTCGCTCGCGAATTGCACACGCACGGAGTGGCACCATGCCCGTCCGTCCGCCCGGCCAGCCGTCTCTGTCCCATAGAACTCCATAAAGCTTACATATACCAGTACTGACGGGCGGCTGGGCGCGGCGGCGGCCGGCCACTCGTGACGGCGCCGCTCTCTCGCACTGGCACAGAGGGGGAGGTGGGGTGCGGGCCCGCTGCGGCCCTGCACGGCAGGCGCGCTGCCGGCCCGTCAGAGCATCTCCTTGTGCCAGATCCAGCGCCGGCGCGTGTTGTCGAACGCGTGCGAGAGCCACAGGTTCTGCAGCAGACGGTAGCGCTCCTCACAGAGGAAGAGCGGCCGACCGCGCCTGGAGACACACGAGAGGGGCGATGTTAGGGCAGGCCGGTACGGATGATCCCAGTGCAGGCTACGAGTGAATACAGACTTCAAAATGCATAAAAATACACAGAACATTGGCTTCCTTTCACTGGACCTGATAGCATCCCTACTTTTCAATCACTCAGTTCTTACTTTTTCCATTCGTACAACCCACCTATCCAGCCCAAATTTACTTCACTCCTGCCCACCCTCGGCCCTATTCCTTCCACCCCTCCAGCGCTACTCACTTGAGCTCTCTGTCCTCCTCTCCGAACGAGTCCAGGTAGACGGAGCCCCAGAGGCAGGCGCGCCGGCCGCGGATCACGATCACCGTACTGCTGTTCACCGCCAGGAAGATACAGGTGCCCGAGCCGCAGTCGACGCTGTGCGCCACCGCCTCGTTCTGCGTGCCCACCTTGCAGCACTGGCCGCGAAGGCAGACCAGCGTGCCGCACAGCAGGCACACGGTCGGGTCTTTGGGCATCAGGCCGCAGCGCGTGCACTGGCGACGGTGGTAGAACTGCCGAGACAAACAGGGGCGGTCAGAATGTGTGGCACGGGGAATTAAAGGAGTGGCGTGGAAGGGCCAGCACTCGAATGGGGCAAACTGGCAGCAAAAAGCTGAAAGTCACATACGAATAGTCACCAATAGCTCATTCAGTAGCTAACACAACTTAATGAACTCACAGGTTCACCTCCGCAAGCACAAGCCTCTGACAGATGCTTATAGTCCCATCAATTATCAGACCTCGGTCTAAAGACTCCCAGGTCTGTTGGATGCACTCCCGTCTGCCGCCACTCACCAGGAAGATGGTCTTGTACTCGCGGGGCAGTCGGAGCAGCTGCGGCTGACACCAGCGCTGCTGGCGGACCAGCTCGCGCGCCGTGCTCTGACTGTGCTGCGCCAGGCTGAGAAACTCGTGACACCAGGCCTGCACCACGGCCTCGCCGTCCGCCACCGCCCAGCGCATGGACGACACGGTCAGCGCGCCGTGCGCGTCCGGCGTGGCGACCGGCGCCGGCTCGGCGAGCTGCAGGTAGTGCAGCAGGGCCGGCAGCTCCTGGTCGGCGCTGCGCGGGTCCGGCAGCGGCTGCTGGTACAGGTGCAGACGCAGCACGGCCGCCAGCCGCAGGAACGGCAGGCAGCGCGCCGCCAGCTGCTCGGCCAGGCCGTGGGGAGACGTGTCGGCCAGCAGCTCGTCCACGCCGTCCTCGGTGTACAGGCCGGCCACGCCCGAGAACAGCTCCACCACCAGGCCGAGCGCCGCCTCCATCGAGCTCAGTCGGCCGCCGGCCGAGGCGCGGCTCAGCTGGGACGCGCGCACCAGCTCGCGGCGCCGCGCGTGCGGCACGTGGAAGGTCAGCGCCGCACACGCCTGCACGTAGGCCAGGTTGTAGAGCGCCTGCACGATACAGGCGTACAGCGATACGGGCAGCGGCATGGGCAGCGTGAGCACCGTCAGCAGCAGCATCGACGTCGGGTCGCGCAGCAGCAGCGGCACCTGGCGGAGACGAGGGCAGGAGGCGAGGTCAGGTACGGGTTATGACCATTGTTTCTACCGAAGAACCGATGAAAACCGATGAACGCATTTTTTAAAACAACTACTGATTACTGATCTGCCACTTCCATTACGGGACGCATGTCATGTTCCAGCTGCGAGTGCGAACAGTCAAAAGCTTGAATGAATGACAACCCTTAAGACACGTTCTTTCATTCCATCCAAACCCCGTGGTCATCCATCCGCGCTCACAAGCCTCTTCCCTTGTCCATCGCCCTACCCCACACCACACACAATCCCCAGCCGCCCCATCCACTCACATCGGGCTGGAAGAGTGTGATCTCGGACCGTGCGCTGGGTATGAGCCCGTTGAGGCGTGACCACATGACCGGTAGGTAGGTGGGGTCGTTCTCCAGCGAGAGCATCTTGGCGTTGTAGCCGAGCACGGTGAGCAGCGGCACCAGGCTGGAGCGTTTGACGCTGGGCACCAGCTGGGCGGCCGCGTCGGCCGTGTTTGTCAGACCGCCGTCCCGCTGGATCACCTCGATCTCCAGGTGTGTCCGCGCTGGAAGACACGGATATGTCATGTCACAACTGTTGTTATATGGCACGCACACTGGGTTGAGGGATGGATGGTGGGAAGAGCATCACAAACGCAATCATATCGTCACCTTAACGCAACGTTCCCAAGTTCAGCTTGAGGTCTAATCATATGCGCCCCTTCTGCACCAAAGTCAACTATCTAACAAAATTAAATCTCGCCACCTTCGGCTCACTCTAGGCTATCCAGCCGAGTGGCGAGTCGCAATCACTCCCCGCACCGGCTCACTATCCCCGCGTTCGATGTCTCTCGGACGGCGAAGATTCTACGCCGTCCGGCCAATCACGTTTCATAACCGCAGCCGAGCCCCCGCTGACCTTGGACGTTATTGGCCGGACAGCAAAGAATCTTTGCCGTCCGGGAGACATCGAACGCCGCCTATAACTCACCGACAGAGTTGACGAAGTTAAGGATGTTTTGTGCGGGCGTCTGCGGCGTGGTGATGCGGAACTTGGGGAACGTCACGCGAGTCATGCCGTCCATCGCGTGCGATATCGGCTCCGCAAAGTTGTTGTTATACTGTGGAGCGAGACGGTAGACAACAGTCAGTATGTGGACGCACATGTAGTAAAAAAACAAACAAACTGAAGGCAGTCCGAAAGAACCGAAATGCACAGGTGATGTGACGTCAAGTGTTTTTCATCTACGAATCACATTCTATCATATTCAACTCTACCTCAGCCATTACGAATCAGACTTAATACGCCTGAAGTCCTCCTTTTCACAGCCAAACAGTTTTGTCCCAAGTCGCTCCTTCCCTTTCCGTAAGCTCCTAGCCTCTCATCCCATCACATCCCCACCTCTCCTTTTTGCACTGACCTCTGGCACCTGGACGTCGTTGAGCAGCCGTCCGATGGCGGTGTAGGCCTCTGCCCGGCTGTAGGCCGGCTGCAGGGCCGCCGCCGCGCCGTCCGGCTCCAGCAGTGGCAGCACGTGGTTACACAGCTGCCGGCACAGCGGACAGCTGTACTCGCCCTTGTTCAGGTTGATGCTCTGGCCGCGCGCGTCCGGCGTGGTGAGCGAGCGCACGTACATGCGGTGACAGTCCAGGTGGATGTTGTGGCCGCAGGTTTGCACGTGCACGCCGCCCGTGACGCCCAGGTTCATCGATAGCAGCCAGTTCTTCTGCGGGTGGGGAGAGCCAGGTCAGTCGGACGGTACACGACAGGCAAAAAGGGTGAGGTGCATCTAACGATAAACATTGTACAGATGATCTTTGAAGAGTGTACGAAACAAAGCGAATTAAAATTATTACTACCCTGCATAAATACGTGTGCATGACTGCGCAGCATCGTCCGTTGAAGCCTCAACCCCCCCCCCCCTTTAAAACGTTCCACAATCCTAGGTAAACCTTCGGATCCGGCAAACGTTTATCTGTCAAGCGTCGACCCCGCAAACAACAGATCGAGCCATTGTTGGTACAATGGCTCTTACTTACTGTACTGTACTTTTGGTGAGGTCAGAAAGACCATCGCTTCTCGGGCATTACTTCCGACCGAAATCGTTATCCCAAGACTTTTAAAGAAACTTAACTACCCTCGCTTTGCAATCTGTTTTTAATCCCAACCATGCCACCCCATCTCCTCCCCTTCCGTACTCTCCCTCCCTACCCTATCCCATCCCATCCCGCTCCCCGCCTTCCCCAGTAGTTGTCACTCACACTCACATTCTCGAACGTGCTTGCCAGCCGGTCGTGTCGACTGTCGACGAACGCGGCGCGGTTGTGGCGCAGCCGGCTGCGCAGCTGCTGGCTGCTCTCCTCGTCCACGGGCAGCTGCAGCGGCTCGGTGCGCGTGTGCTGGTGCGACAGCACGCTGGTGGCCTGCAGCAGCACGACCAGCCCGAACGGCCGCTCCGCCGTGCTCGCAGAGCTCTGGCCGCAAATCACGCAGTCGTACTCGCGCACGTTACGCTCGCGCCGACTGCTGGCCGCCACGTCGGGCTCCTCTGCGGAGGGGAGGGAGTTATGGTCAGATCGATGGACTGGTGATGAATTTAATTAAAAGCAAAGTAGCATTAATGCATGACCAAGGATTCACCATCATGGTCATTTTCGACGCATATGTTTCCTTTGCCTTTTAGGAAAAACGAGCCTCAAATTAAGCCCAAAACGAAGTTTAGCTTATCTGCTTAAACCGACACACATCAAACGGCTCTATAAACGAAAAATAACGAAAATATATCCACAACACAGCTGCTCTGTCCCCACTGCAGATAACATTCCACATAAGTCATATGACCCGAGTCGAACTTTGGCAAATGTTGCAAACTGCAGTTATGCGCAACAGCTGGGGCGTGTGCTTCGTCAGCAAACACTTGCCTCAACCCACATTCCGACTGACGAAATCAATCCATTTAAAGCAACAAATACGACTTTTCCTCCCTAATTACACCCACACAAGCTTATTCTGACCAAAACACATCGAAATCTTCCGCGAATTGACAAACTCCACACCCCTAGTTATCCAAAGTCGGCTCATCACCAGACAGCGCCGGGAGGAGACGTTATCGCGCAGAGGCGGCGGCAGGGGATTCGACAACCGGCGGCGCACTACTCACCCGTCTCGAGCTGCTCCTGGAACTGCCTCTGCCGGTTGGCGAACTGGCGCATCAGACGCTGCTGACGCTCGCGGGCCATGCGCCGGCGGGCCTCGCGGTCCTCACTGCGCGGCGACTCGTCCTCAGTCTGAGGACAGGAGAGACAGCAGCGAGTTAGACGTGGAAACATTCACGGATCCACAGGACAGGATGAACCAGATGGTTTGAAGACTCGCACAATAAATATGACGGCTAACGCTTTAGCTAATTTTTGTTTACGTCAAACGATATTTATCAAAGTGGAGCTATATAGCAACAACACATTCAAGCGAGGTCTCATTTACCTCTGACCATCCTTTTCTCCTCCTCCACCAAGCAAACATAGGTCAGCTATTCTCCATGCCTATCGACTCGCCGCATCTTTACATGTCCCGATAACGTACCGCTCTAGGCCACAGCCGGTTCCTGGTCTCCTTGATGTGCTGTTTGAGCAGCGGGTCCTTCTTGGCGATAAACGTCAGCAGCTGGCCAACAAAGTGAGGCCCGTTACCTGAAAACAAAATCAGAAGCCATTATAGACGTGAACAAGGGAAGCAGTCATAATGCCATCCTAAAATCACCTTTAGATCAAATGACAAACTTCCATCCTACAATTATAAACGTACCACGATTGCTATATGACACAGATAGCTGATGGTAGACACATAAACACATGATTATATGCATCACCGACCAATGCCTTAAGTGTAGGGTATCGATTGAGAAAGTAGCATTTCCTAAAGAGCTAAATCATACCCCACACCGGCAACTGCTTGTATGACATCAATAGCTGTTTTCAGCTATCCTATAGCCAACTACGTGCAATATGTCCAGTGTCGGAGCCCAGTCATTTCTCTTACAATCACACCCCGTCATTACAATGACCACCAGTCACACAATGGTGGTGCGGGGATACCCCGCGCGGCGCCATACGTTCACTACAGGCGCCGACCGCACACCAGGAAAACCACCCTCCCTGCCGCCGGTGGGCATTGGGCGAGCGGTGAAGGCGGTTTGGTGTGAGCGGCGGTAACTGGGTATTGGGTACTTAATGGCGGGAAGGGGAGGGCGGACCGAGACGGAGCATGCGAGCGAGAATATGGTGAATTTCGACAAGGGATGACATGAGGGGTAGGGTGTATCGTCGAATTTTGATTTTTTTTAATCGTCTTCACTACTAAATTTTATTGGTCCCTGGCATGTTTGAAGCCGTAGGACACCAATCAAAAAAATCTGGGACGAAAACCTAGCCTGCTGCGAGCGGTTGAACGGAAGCCTGTCGGGGCGGCGCCAGGCGTTGAAGTCTCCCCGTTAGTTACGCGCACACTAGCACCACGCGGCGGCTGGCGCCGTGCCGCCGCGTTCCCGGTCAGCCGTGTTTTAGCGTTCACTGACGAGTCGAGGTGATTATTCTAAGCTTTCCTAAGAAGTTTTCTGCCCCGCAGCTCATTATTGAGCAAGAATATCGCACAAACTGCATAGAACATTGACATGCAGGTTGTCGGCACATATGGAGAAGGGGATGTTTTGGTTAATGCCTCCTTTAATAGGAAGAGATTGTGGAAGAACAACACATTTCTTTTGGAAATTACTCATCCTCCTTCTTCCTACGTGCCTGCTTTAGTAATCGAAGTACCCCTATTGACTCTACGTTCTTGATTCGGCTGTGGATTTTATGCATGGAATTCCGCTATATTATATTTTCTCGCTCGATGTCCCCTGAGCTATATTGAGGCGTCACGGGACAGCAATGCTCAGCACACAACCGCAGAGAAAAAGTCAATGTGGCCATGCGTTTTGTATGCCAAAATGTGTGAGCCTTGGCGTGTACCAGCAGCCGTTGTCACCATTGTAATTTTCACGACTTTATCTTTGTAAGGATGCAATTTCCCACTTCCTAGTTCCCAGACTGGGTTTGGAGATATTATAGTTTTACAGAAACATTTGGGAATGTCTGTAATGTAAGTTAAAGCGAATACCGAAAGGAATCCACATATTTTCGATTTCCTGTTTGCTGTATTGCTGATTAAATGCCAGACGTCATGATGGCATGGCTGCGATTGATGGTATGCCGGATGGCCAGGGTACGAACTCACGGTAAGTCAGCTTGGCCGGCAGGCATCAACAGGCACAATAGTCTTACACTGATATCGTCACCCTCAGTTATTCGTCACCATTCAGCAACAAGCCCAGAGCTTCGGGCTTTGAACCGTAAGGTACAGGTGTAGGAGCAAGACATTGCGCCGATTCGAAGGGCTGGAAGGGCAGCATCGCGGGGGCTGGAATGCGCCTGAGCGGCTGAGACCATCCCATTGGGACGGGGGTGTTCTGGGTGCTCTCAGCCGCTCATGCTGGGAAATGCATCCAATGGAGCTCTCCATTCGAATGATTAGGGTGACCTTTAGTCTAGAACAAGGAAGGATGACTGTTGGCTGGTCCCGAGGATAGATACAAAGGACAGGTAATGACATCATATAATGAATCGAAGACGGCCCCGGTCCGATCCTCTGATAGAGGTTCATCAACACGTATCTCGTTGTGGACCATTTCGTTTTCCTCCACCGTAGTTTTTGCACCGACCTGAACCGGTTGGAAGGTAACGATGTTCAGAAACCATTAAGATCGTAATTGTATATTCGTTGTATATTCGTTCACTGAGCAGGTAGGACAGGTTCAACACAGTGAAAACCTCATCCTATCATCCAATAATTATAAAGTAGTCTTCATGGAATGGAAAGGCTAACCTAACTCAACGAATATACAATTACGACCTTAATGGTTTCTGAACATCGTAATCTTCCAACCCGTTGAGGTCGGTGCAAAAACCACGGTGGAGGAAAACGAAATGGTCCACAACGAGATACGTGTTGATGAGCCTCTATCAGAGGATCGGGCCGGGGCCGTCTTCGATTCATTATATGATGTCATTAGTTGTCCTTTGTATCTATCCTCGGGACCAGCCAACAGTCATCCTTCCTTGTTCTAGACTAAAGGTCACCCTAATCATTCGAATGGAGAGCTCCATTGGATGCATTTCCCAGCATGAGCGGCTGAGTGCACCCAGGACACCCCCGTCCCAATGGGATGGTCTCAGCCGCTCAGGCGCATTCCAGCCCCCGCGATGCTGCCCTTCCAGCCCTTCGAATCGGCGCAATGTCTTGCTCCTACACCTGTGCCTTACGGTTCAAAGCCCGAAGCTCTGGGCCTGCTGCTGAATGGTGACGAATAACTGAGGGTGACGATATCGGTGTAAGACTATTGTGCCTGTTGATGCCTGCCGGCCAAGCTGACTTACCGTGAGTTCGTACCCTGGCCATCCGGCATACCATCAATCGCAACCATGCCATCATGACGTCTGGCATTTACTAAGCAATACAGCAAACAGGAAATTCGAAAATATGTGGATTCCTTTCGGTAATAGCTTTTAACTTACATTACAGACATTCCTAAATGTTTCTGTAAAACTATATCTCCAAACCCAGTCTGGGAACTGGGAAGTGGGCAATTGCATCCTTATAAAGATAAAGTCGTGAAAATTACAATGGTGACAACGGCTGCTGGTACACGCCAAGGCTCACACATTTTGGCATACAAAACGCATGACCACATTGACTTTTTCTCTGCAGTTGTGTGCTGAGCATTGCTGTCCCGTGACGCCTCAATATAGCTCAGGGGACATTGAGCGAGAAAATATAATATAGCGGAATTCCATGCATAAAATCGACAGCCGAATCAAGAACGTAGAGTCAATAGGGGTACTTCGATTACTAAAGCAGGCACGTAGGAAGAAGGAGGATGAGTAATTTCCAAGAGAAATGTGTTGTTCTTCCACAATCTCTTCCTATTAAAGGAGGCATTAACCAAAACATCCCCTTCTCCATATGTGCCGACAACCTGCATGTCAATGTTCTATGCAGTTTGTGCGATATTCTTGCTCAATAATGAGCTGCGGGGCAGAAAGCTTCTTAGGAAAGCTTAGAATAATCACTTCGACCCGTCAGTGAACGCTAAAACACGGCTGACCGGGAACGCGGCGGCACGGCGCCAGCCGCCGCGTGGTGCTAGTGTGCGCGTAACTAACGGGGAGACTTCAACGCCTGGCGCCGCCCCGACAGGCTTCCGTTCAACCGCTCGCAGCAGGCTAGGTTTTCGTCCCAGATTTTTTTTATTGGTATCCTACGGCTTCAAACATGCCAGGGACCAATAAAATTTAGTAGTGAAGACGATTAAAAAAAATCAAAATTCGACGATACACCCTAAATTGAGGGGGAGGGGGGCGGTTGGCATCATGGCCGCAGCTTCAGCGATTTCCGACAAAGCAACGGGCGGCTGTCATGAGTAGAGGTCTTAATCAGTGTTGTCTCACACTACGCATCACAAGACTCCGCTCGCCATCCCTGCTCGTGTTCGCCCGTTCACGTACCGACTCTGGACTCCTTGAAGTTGGCCAGCTGCTCGTCCGAGGGCAGGCGGTAGCTGTCGGGCTGGTCGCTGAGCTTGCTGTGCAGCTTGAGCAGCAGCGAGACGATCGAGTCTCCGAACGCCACTGAGGTGGTGGTGGTGGTGGATGAGGGTCCGGCGCCGTCCTGCAGGCCGCGCGGACCGTACCACGACTCGCCCATGTCGTGAGAGGCCGGCGAGCGCAGCAGAAGGTCTGTGGGACACGGCGGGGAGAGATGATCAGACGGGGTCGCATGAAGTTACACGGTGGGTATTTCAGATAATGCGGTGCGGGTGCAAGTTTGCATGTTTGTTTGGTAATCAACACTTGGCAGAGCCTAATATGGAAGTGTATCGACTTTAAGCTATGTGAATGCCGTAAGACTGCTGAAGTGATACACGCTCGTTGGCCAATTTCTCACTACATGACAACATCGATGTAAAGGTACTGTCCTTCATCGGGTCCTCCCTCAACGGGTTCAGGTGTCTAAGGTCGAGTGTACGTCCTTCATGGGATCATTCCCCTCCCTCCCCCACTCTCTGCCCAAAGCGGAGCCAGTAACAATCAGCGCCGATACCGCCCTCCCGCCCACCTGGCACATACCAGGCTAACACGAACACCCTGAGTGAGGAGTGACCGCGACCCTGAGCCCCGCTACCCACCCTGTCGGGCGGTCAGCTCCGGCAGACAGCAGTTGCATCACCTTTCCCATCACCACACGCCCGCTGAACCGGCCGTGCCGACACGCCGGCACTAGCACAGCACCCAAGCCCGTCCCGTCTCCATTCGCCCACCATCGTCTTGCTGAGAAAGCCTTCCCTCTTCGGCAATCATCCTCCGACACGTACCTTCCTGCCCGACAAATCCTACCGCACTACCCTAAAGGTGCTCTTTCCCAGCGCCTCTCCTGTACACTAAAACATCCTGCCCTCCCTCATCCTCTCTTCTGATAACAGGCATCGCCATTCCCTAGCTCCCTCCCGCCCCCCTCCTCTGACACGTACCGCCCTGCTGTGAGCGCGGCACCAGCTCGCCGCCGCTGCAGGCCACCAGAGCCAGCGGCCCCGAGTACTGCTGCTCGCCCACGGCGCCGGCCGCAGAGGTGGAGGCCACGGCTCCGGCGTGCGCGGCGCCGCTGCCGCCGGCCGCCGACTGGTCCATGGGCTCTGAGGGCGGCAGCCGGCCCACCTCGGTGCCGGCCAGCAGCGCGGGCCGCTGCTGGGTCTGCAGCGCGGCCAGCGGCGGCGGCCCGTCCGGCGACAGGTGCAGCACGCCCACGTCCTCGTCCTCGGGCTCCTCCACCACCATCTCCATCGACTCCATCAGCATCTCGTCTGTAAGGAGCGGGAAGGGGCGTTCGTCAATAACAACATCCCAGTTTGCATCTACTGACATCGCTTGCGAGTGGAACATATTCCTTCAATTGGCGATCTGGAAAATTAAACAGCCACCTACCGCGCTATCAGTACCTCGCCATAAAGGCACAACAAGGGATTAGAAACTCAACAACACCTTCAGGAAGTCAACATTTCGCTCCAAAGGCAAAGATACGATACATTCAGCCCCATTCAGCCCCCATCCTGGTCATCAGCATATTGCACAAAACGACGCACGTGATCGCACCCGGAACAGCACCACCCCTGCAAAAACAAGCAAACTCGGCCGTAATCTGCACGGTGTTATACGATACGCCGCCCACTCGCCGGGGTCGTGACATCAGCGCAACTACTGCGAAATATCCTACACGAATCGGAACTGGGAGCAGCCTCCCGGTCGGTGACGGTCCTATCTCGGCAGCGCCGATCCGTACACAAACACAATAACGACGCTAGGCGTCACGTGGCAACTACTGCCGTTTGGCGGAGATGCTCTGATAAGACGCTGAGAAGGAGTGGGTGTCTGGGAGTGGTATAAACACAATGTGATCTACCAGCACGCATCATCTGCATAGTCCTCAAAGTGCTATCATCTAGCCTGTTTCTATCTCCGATTCGACAGAAAGTAGTGTTTATTCCCAACACAAGGAACGCGGAAGAGGCCAACGCAAGAGCCGATCCCGCGAAAAATATCACATCATCGCTCAGTTCAATCATGCAATGTGTCGCAGCTGGGATGTTGCATTATCACCGTTCTGCCAGTCCTGTCAGCGAACCCACCCCCAGCATAGCTACAGGGTCCCTCGAGACGACCCAGCTGCTTCTTGTCACCGCGTGACAGACTGGCCCCGTCCGCCCCACCGACTCTACAGAAAGATGTCACAAATACTCTTGCAAACCCCCCGCAAATCTCCGGAAGCCCATCCCTCTTTCTCGGCCTCTCTCCTGCCAACCATCCCTCTACCGCCGATCACAGGTCAGAGCCCCCACCCGGCAGTTGACTCAGCACCTCAGTGGCCGATTCCTAGTAACCCTGCCCATCCCGGTCCTGGCGGACCCCGGGCACACCAAACTCGCGCGCCGCCGCCGCCTCGTTATCCCGAGCACAAACAGTGATGGATCGCGGCCAGGGGCGCCGCGTCCCGCGAGCATTCGGCCACACCCGGTCCGCCGCGCTGGACTTTGGGTTGGTCGTCAGGCGGACTGCGCAGCGCCTGCCGCCGGCGAGACTGGCCGCCCACACTCAGCGGCCTCTGTTCGACCGCCCAGGGCGTCCTGTCAACCACCAAAGCCCAGTGGAGGTCCGACCTGCCTCATGGAACTCAGACAGACTCAAAACGAATATTTTAACATCCAGAAAGCCCTGATAAGCAGTCAAATAATCAATTCTAGTTCTGACATTAAGCCGATCCAAGGAGCGGTCTCACAACCGTACTTGCAACAAGCGAACTCCATTGCTCCAGCTGTCTTTGGTCAATGACCACCACCATTGCTCAAGTAGCCAGTAAACCACAACCTCCCTTCCTCGTCCCCTTCCCTCTCTACAATGGCCACTCTCGCTGCTAAAATAGCCAAGAGTATCACACTTCATTCCCTCTCTCCCAGCTCTCTACACTGACCACTCTCGCTGCTGGAGGAGCTCGGGTAGACGCGCTGTCACTCCCCCTCTCTCTCTCCTCCCGTTCACTCACCACTCTCGCTGCTGGAGGAGCTCGGGTAGACGCGCTGTCACTCCCCCTCTCTCTCTCCTCCCGTTCACTCACCACTCTCGCTGTTGGAGCCCGGGTAGACCCTCTCTCCCTCTCTCCCTCTCCTCCCGTTCACTCACCACTCTCGCTGCTGGAGGAGCTCGGGTAGACCCTCTCTCCCTCTACTCCCGTTCATTCACCACTCTCGCTACTGGATGAGCCAGTTGGCCCTCCCGGCCTCTCTCCCTCTCCTCCCGCTCACTCACCACTCTCGCTGCTGGAGGAGCTCGGGTAGACGCGCTGTCACTCCCCCCTCTCTCTCTCCTCCCGTTCACTCACCACTCTCGCTGCTGGAGGAGCTCGGGTAGACGCGCTCGGTGACCACGGTCACGTTGTCGACCACGCGGCGCAGGTTGTCGACGCTCCAGGGGGTGCGGAACCACTCGGTGAACTGCAGGTCCTCACACTCGTCCGGCTGGTCCATGTCCGTGCGGAACACCTCCTGTGGGGACGACGCAGAGACGGGGCACGATGTCAGGACCGTTTTATATACGAGGGTACGTCGGGTCGGAGAGGGCACAGGACATTACTTGAGACAGATGCCAGGTAAAAAGTTCGATATTGATATCACATCACCGAAAAAGGCGATTTAATGACGCGAATAATAAAAAAAATCCATCATTTAAAAGCAGAGTTCCTGCTCGCTCTGTCCCAACATTTTCCTCCTCCCTCGTCATTTATCCGCGCGTCTCACCTGTCCTGTGAACTCCTTCTCGGGTTTTCTGGTGGCCATCTCCAGCAGGAAGATGGCCAGAGACATGACCTGCTCGCTGACCAGCGGGTCACTGACGCAGCGGCGCAGGATGGCTAGCATCGCGCCGTAGAAGGTGTTACAGTGCAGGATGCGGCGCACGTCCGGGATGTCCGGCAGCGGCGGCTGCGAGGGCGGCACCTTGTACGGCGGCCACGGCGAGCCCTTAGAGTCCGTGTACTGGCCGGTGCTCTTCACACTGAGGGAGGGAGGGGGAACGTTAGATCGAGCCCTTTGAGTACCGGCCGGTGCTCTTCACACTGCGGGCGCGAGGGGAGGGAAGGCATTATAAATAAGCGAAAAGAGGGTAACATCTTCAGCGCGGTTTCAAAATGCACAGGACAAACATTGGGTTAGAACAGAACAAGAACATTGGGTTAGAATCTAACCACGTTCGTCACTGCCTTGGGAAAATAGTTCGCCTGGACTCAGGACGACTATTTGCCATCCAAAAGTCACGTTATCCATAAACAAGAAAAATATTCAACAACACAACCATGAGGCTAACTTAGTCACAACGTTAATACCCAGGAGGCATCATTACCACAGAAGTCATTGAGCTAAATACTAATCCCACCACATTCCGTGATCGTGGAGCGGTAATCCTGGGGCCGGCTGACCGCCAGTGATGGACCGCCTCTACCACAGATATCCGAGACGTCCGTCGAACCACACAGCGACAAACAACAGCGGACGAACGAAATACCAACGGCCAGACTCAGTTCACGGCTCTTCGCGAATCAACAACAGCAAAAATATTTCAGATGGCAAAAAGCACTTTGAAAGGCATAATGAAGAATAAGCAGCGATCGAAGTAGCTAGGCAACATGACATTATCAAAACTGATAATTCTGTCCACCAATCATGTATACTGACTTATCAAGAATGGAAAGAATACTCGTCTTATGTAAATCCAAAAAAGTTTTTTGTTGTTGTTGTTGTTGGGTTAGGCTCTATCGGTCAATCGTAACCCTTGCAGAGCCGGAAGGACGATGGGAATTAGGGGGAGACATCAAGGTCTGGGCGGGCACCCTAGTGAGTCGCCGGGGCTGAGCTCGTCCAAAGGCCGCACAGCCCCCCCCCCCCCGCACTCACTGCACCCGGCTACGGGTCTGCTCCTATGGGAGCATGGGAGCTGCCCGCATGGGATAAAGTTGTCCGTCCAACCCGGATATTCAGGGACTTGAAGCGTGGAGGAGATGGATTTGACTGTGCTGAGGATGGAAACAACGGAACGGTGCCCACACAGGCATCCGTCCCTCTAAAACACGCACTTCAACAGTTCCCCAATCTCCTTCAAACTCACTAAGCGGTGAAGCGGTCCATGGATCCCTGGAATTCCTTGCGCACCATGGCGCGCAGAAACACGTAGATGGGGTCGTAGAGCGTGTCCCAGACCTCGACCTTGGGTCCGTAGATGCCCTGCTGCATGTTTCCGGATGCCTCCGAGGCGGGGCCGCGGTACCGGGACACCTGTGGCACGGGAAAGAGGGTGTCAGATGGACTGGCAGGACGTAGGCACCGTCCCGAGAGGGCGCTGCACACGAGCTAAGCCAACGACAGGGTTAGAATGAGTAGGCGTCCTACACTGCGATCATAAGCGCAGCAATGATGTTCGTATGAAAACATTGCTACAAACGAGATCCTGAAAGATTAATTTCGCATTAAATTACTATGGGCGACGAAATCGGGATAAATGACAAAACTGAGGTATCAATATTAGCGGCGAGGCCGAAACAGAAGAAAAGTGTGCACTTGGTAATATGACCTTTGCACCAATCCTCCCCATCGTGGCCTAAAAAAAAACTCGTTGACCCACCATTCACCCAGCCACCGTCCCCCCCCCCCCAAAAAAAACTCACATGAGCGAGCACGGCCTCGAACAGTGCCGGGTTGCTCATGGGCTCGGATTTCTCCGGCAGCAGGTCCATGAGCTGGCTGTGCGTCTTGTCGCCCATACACAGCTGCGTGGCGATCTCCAACTTGGCCAGCTCGTCCTCCGGCATGCCTGGTGGCGGGGAGAGAAAGGTGGGGTCAAATACAGCACGTCAGACCAGACAGCAGCCTAGACGGTGCAGGGGTAGAAAGTGAGCGGCGTTTAACTGTGATTTAGCACAGGACGGGACAAACGCAGTCGACACTACAGGCTTACAAAGATTCCTGTTGCAAATGACTTGTCCTTGTTCGAGCGAGGACAAATGTTCCTAACTGGGTTCCGATTCAAGCCAAACACTGTAATGGCCCACCACTAACGAGTGCCCTACTCCACCCGTCCCGCAGAGTTGCTGGGCTGAGGACCAGGCTCCTCGCGCGCGAGTCGCCCTTCTCCAACCCGCCGGGAGCCCAACCCAGATCGAGACCCCCTCCCCCGCCCCACCGGGAGCCCAGCCTGGATTGTGCCCCCCCCCCCCTTCTCGGAAGCCCGGCGGCGTTATCTGTGACAAATTGCATCTGGTGTGCCCTGCCCAGTGTCCACGTCAACCCGCCGACGGCCGGTCAAAACCGTGACAAACACGGCGCCGCCGGAGCGCAGCCCACAGCCGCGCCGCCGCCGCCGGCACGGTAAACACCAGAAACTGGAAGTGAGGCGCTTCCCCGGGCGGGCGCCGTTCATGGAACTGACAGCGTGGGGAGGAAGACGGGCGCCCGGCCGGCGACAAAAAGAATCACGTACACGCATTACTTGATACTGAGACTGAGTCACAAACTGGCCAAGTGCGCATTGTGAAGCTTCTAGGTCACCTCAGGTGGCTAGACAACCGTCGCAAATAGACCCTGGTGAGCGGCAGCACGCTTGGCCATGACTGCGGTCAATAGTAATCACGCAATAGCTTAAGTTTCGTTAATTAGTCTAAATGCTATAAACGCTCGAGTCTAGCAGGACAAAAAGGGCACGTCAGGCACGATTTCCCAATCGACGCTGGTCGGCGCTGGCCAGTTATCGCTGAGCAGACCATAGTTTGACAAGCTCATAAATAGTCCACTAATGACACGAACTCATATGGCACAGCTGCTCCATAAACAGCGATAGCCTTTATTGCAGCCATTGGCCATAACGAGATTCAATTAACTTCCTCAATCGTAGCTTTCGCAGATGGCATTAAGCATTTCAAGGAAGCCCGTGGTCGTCCCCTGCTATAAATCCCAGGAAATATACAACTTACCTCTACAACTAACCTACGAATCAATTACAAAACTCAAACAATCACCTAAAGGCCACCTCCTTCTTACATCCATAGTATACGACATGACACCACGGTTCACCGAACTCCGACCCCAATGCCCAAAAATGCTACCCACTCACTCTGGACTTTCCACTTCCTATCGCTCATTCCCACCCCTCAGTCCAAACCTAAATGCTCTCACCCTCACTTCTACAATCCTCACTCAAATGCCTTCCACTCCCTCCCACATTCGCCATCTCACCCGCGCCCCGGTGTCGTGTTCTCACCTGCGCAGGTGCGCACGCAGAGCAGCGTGGCCAGGAAGGTGAGACACGCCTCGACCATGGGTATCTCCTGGTCGGCCTCCAGGTGAGAGTTGGTGGCGTTGGGTGCGAAACTCAGCCACTCCCACACGTGGAACCTGAGAGAAAGGAGGGGGGGGGGTGTCATGGTTAGGCGGTTGTGTTGGGTCTAGTCTAAGTTAATGGCATGCAAGTCAAGATCGTAAGTCACATAGCTAATCGACAGAGCAGTCTTTTTTACTGGAGACGAGCTATTTTTAGCTCCTGCATATGCTTTGTCATTGGAGATCTGCCTATATTTTGGAAGAGGCACGGAAACACACAATAATAATGAAGGTGACGCCTACAGGCTATCCCTTTTATCAAGTCATTCTCTCTCAGTTATTTACAGCTGACTTCTTCAGACACCCAGCATCCAATCCTCTAGCCGCTCAACTGACTTTTTGAGGACGAGCGTGAGGAATTTGTCGGGGTCGAGCGTCATGGCGCCCAGCTGCAGCAGGTAGATGTCCGGGTCGACCATGGAGCAGCAGAAGTGGCACTGCGTGTAAGTCATCGTCTGGCCCTTCATCTGGTTACCGTTGCGCACCCACATGCCCGCAGAGATCTCGTGGAAGCTGACCTGGAGGATGAACGGTGAGAAGTCAGATGAAGGAAGTGTTAAGTCATATTGACAATGATGAAGACACTTCGGCAACGGGCATGATCAATACATGTATGTATTAAAACGGGCATGTATTAGAACCAAGGCACACATTAAAGAGCATTCCAGTTCTATTTACACCAGCACTTTGTAGATTACGATTATGTTAAGCCGGCATATCATCAATGCTTCACTCCACTAAAATGATACCACAAATTCGTTCTCCAAATGCAGCTATCAATTCTAGACGGCAATGACTCCGTCAATTAGCAAAATCAATGTCCCCCTGCCACACCCCTCTTCCCTTCCCCTCCGGCCTCCATTATCCCCCCTCCCCCCGCTCCCGGCGCCCTGTCTAACACCCGTCACTCGCCTGCAGCTTCAGCAGGTGGCTGATGAGGGTGAACATGGTGTTGCCGGTGGGCAGCAGCTCCTGCAGACTGACGCCCTGACGCTTCACCGCCTCCGAGATGATGAGCGCCACGTAGCGGTGCAGAGGCAAGTGGAACGTGCAGCGCAGGTCCATACTGTCGTCCTCGACTATCTCCTCCTGGGGAGAGACAGAGACACGGGTTAGAGAGAGGGAGCGGAGGGAGAGGGGAGGGGTGAAAACACCAGGGAACGCCTGGCGAGGCCGCACGCCACACGAAAACAACCCGGTCGTTAGGCTAAGCAACGCGCTTGTGTGTTTTGCTCGAACAGTCTCGTGCCGCGGTGGTACACAATTTTCCTCGTTTTCAAAGTCACATTCTAAGTGATAAGTCTGGTGAACTCGTTTCTACCCGGGGTCCGGGGTATGAGAAGTGAGGGCTAGTCACTAACGATGTGACGCAAATGACCAATAAATAGCCGCATTGTAAAACTCTTCCGGGGTCAGCCCAGGAGCACGTAACAATTAAACGTGACACGGAGGTCTTCACAGTCCCCTGGTTAATAACCGGCGCGGACGTCACAACACACGCCGCCTGGAAGGTGCTCCATTGTTCGAACTCGCTTAACCATTGTTTGGTGCGACCTTGCCGCGGTCAAACCACATCCTGAACGACAGACTTCGGACACAAGGCGCTCCCAGCGGCACACATATCACGGACACTCCGCTGAGCTGGCCTGAACGTCAGATGTCGGGCACAGGGTACCCGCCGGCCCAGATAACACAGACATTCAGCTGTTCGAAGGGACGTCTTAGTCAGGCCAATGTCAGCACATCAAACGGAGCTGTCCGACCGTCTCAAGGCTAAAAACAACACCGGTGTTACACGAGATTCCACATTCCCTCTGCATTCCTCTTGAGTCTCTCACACATTCCTTACGACTCATCATGTGCGTACACTAATATATTCCTTACAGTCCCTCTAAGCAGTCCTCTTAGATCGATCCTTACTCTGGTCAAAAACTTAACAACGCCCTCCCGTTCGACCCCACACGTCACCACACCACCCCCAACCCCGCACACCACCCGGCCAGTCGACTCACGTAGGTCTGAGGGCAGCCGATGGCGTCATGCCACTGCTGCAGCGCCGCGTAGGCGTGCCGCAGCAGCCGCTTGGTCAGGTCGGCCGTGCCCGGCTCCTTCAGGTGTGTCAGCAGCGCCCACATGGGGGCCGCGGAGCCCTCCAGTTCGGCTGAGAACGCCGCGTAGTAGGTGGACGGCTCCATGTCCACGTGCGCGTCCAGCTGACGAATGTTGACGTGCATGCCTGACGGAAAGAGAGCGGGGAGGGTTAGAGGAGGGTAGGGAGATGGACGATTTACAGTCAAACATAGCGGAGGGGAAAACTGAATAATTGACGATTTATAGACCTAGTTATATACACCTTATGCATGATGATCATATGAACAGGCTCTAGAACCTAAGCCAATCATATAACGCAAGACGTTAACAATTTAAGGGTGGCCATGCCTGCAGCTGTTCATTCATCTCCGCACTGCTATCTCATCACTTAGACATCTCCCAGTGCAACAACATTCAGCTATCCTAATGGAAAAGGCATGCGGCGTCCGGGATTCGTAAGGCAGGCGGAACTGGGAGCAGCGTTCAGTGAAGGTTACTACGTCCCCCAGAGTCGGCAGCGGCAGCGGGCCGCCGCCCACGCCGGCTGGGGGTGACGCCGTGCTGATGTCACTACCGGACAGGATCAATGCTGACGGATAGCAGAGAGAGGGAGAGAGGGAAGAGGGAGAGGAGGGAGGCTTGCACGGACCGCGGTCATGGTAGGGACGGTGCACGGAAGATGGAGAGGGAGAGGGATGGAGAGAGGCAGAGGGAGATGAGATGACGCACTTAGGGTGCGGAGGTCCGGGAGACTGACGCCTAATTTAGCATGCAGTACCTACATGCAACAACACTACGTAGGTAGTTAAGCGGAGACCATAATAGAACTCTAAGTGTCTATCTCAATAAGCACACACGAACGAAAATAAAGGAAGTTCAGAGTGCCTGCCACGGTCACACATCCGCCAAAGCCATTGCCGTGCTGTTGTAACACTTCTACTTTATACAGCCAAGTAGAACAGCAATTTTGTTGCCGACTCACCCTGGTACATGGACAGGTAGGAGAACCACATCTGCAGGAGGCCGTCGTCTGAGACGAACGCCAGCGCCACGGGCTTGTGGCTGAGCACGTTACTGAGGTCGGAGACAAGCGGCCAGTAGCAGTGGTTCTTCATGATCTTGTCGCCACAGCTGGCCACTTTGTGCGTGTTTCGTGCTGGGTCTGAGGGCAGAACATTGACAGTCAGCTATACAAGATACACATAGGACGGAGTAGCACAGAAAACCGACGACTCGAAATAAGATTGGCTACGAGTCGTCATATATCACATCTATATTTGGCCAGAGAAGTGATTACACAAATCTAAAACCGGTGTCAGAATGTCACGTGGGGCGACCAAGCCCATTTCGCCACCCCACGGGACAGCCAAGATAACATTTCAGCTCATGGCATGCAAAGCAGCGGCGAGAGGCCACAACTGAAAGGTTCCGAGAACTTTGAACCGCTGGATTTCCATAGTCATTCCTCTCTGCTTTGCATACCCCAGAGGTGAATGTCGCAGTATGAAATTTGCACTTCAAATTTCTACATTCTTATTAAAACAAGTACGTCCGGTCCTTATAATTGCACCATGCGCGTATCTCAAGAGATCTCTGGATCCGCCGCCGCTGCCACTGCCGCCTCATCCGCCCAAAACCCACCTACAGTAATTGCCAGCAGCCCTTCAAAGTCTGCCGCTGCTCCGTCGGCTCATAATGTTGACAACCGGGCCGCGAGCCGTGACAGAGCCGACGGCGGCGGCATTCCATCTACTCCACAGAGGCTGCCGGCACTACTCTACAGGCGGCGCTGGTACCCTCCATCTACTTCTCAGAGGTCACCGTGCGCTCCCGCCTCTCGCCTCACCCCATCAAGGTGGCGCTCTAATCCCCGCACCTCGTAACTTCATACACAGGTTATTCAGGGTAACCAACCGATAAACAACACGAATAGACGGCGTGAAAAACGGTGTACCAGCGGTAGAACATAACAATCATGAAGGTGGAGTAACCATGAAATACTACAAACAAACGGAGGTGATACAACAGCAATGACAGCATACACTGGGTGCAAAGACGGCGCACGGTCACGGGACAGCCGTGGCCGCTGTAAGGCCCCTGCGCCTCTCGGCCATCCGACGGGTGCTGCGCGGCAGCCCGCTGCTGCAGCAGACCTCCGCCCAACAACCGGCGCCGCCGGATCAAAGGAATGCATGACGTCAGTCGCCCCGACAACAACAATCATAAAACGGCGCGCTGCCATTAGCCCTAAGACCCGACTTTGGCAGCCGGGCCGTCGGAGCCCGTACCGACGCCAGCTCGGTGTGCAGCATCTATGTATATTCAGCGGTGGCTTGGCAGCGCAGTCAAGGGTTTTCGTTTGAGTCAGCGAGTAACCAGCCAGCTGCGGGTTGGCACATCTACGGCGTCACACTCAGCTGGCAGACTTTGAGAGATGTCACAGCGCCGGGGGTGCTGCTGACGGTCGCCAGTCCTCCACCCACTTCTGTCATCCCTCACACAGTCCTCCGCCTGCCTTTCATCATCCCCACCCTTTCCTCCACCGTTCACCGCTCACTGGATGGCAAAACAGACCGGATGTCGCCGACGGGCCGGCGGCGGCGGTCCAGTCGGTGACCCGTCCCGTTCTCCACCCTCCCACCCCGTCACAGCGCCGTCACGCACGTCAGGCGCCGACGCGGCCGCCGTCACGCCGCCCGCACCCCTTCCCGCTCGGCCGGCCGCTGCTCCCGAGCGGCCGACGCTGCGGAGGAGAGCTCATTGATTGACCGGCAATATAGATTATAGAGCCTGGGTGGAGAGGAGTGTAGTTAGTGTAGTTTCCGGCTAGCACCACTGTCCTCTACCATCTACTAATTCCTCAGAGACCGGCACTATGTTACAGCCTCGCCTGCCATCACCGGGCCGAGCCGGGGCGCGACGCGGCCGGGAGGCTCACTTCTGCGAACATCTGCTCAGCGTCACAGCTGACGGTCTGACGGCAGTGTAACGAAACTGAATACCAACGGCACGGCCTGGGCGCCCAGCCTGCAGCGCCGGCCGACAGCGGTGTCCCAGGCCGGTCCCCGAATCCCGCCGTGACGTCACAGACACCCCAGTGACGTCACCAGACAGTGCGGCACCTTCCCCAGTGACGGACCCGACACTCGGCCCGGCCACCGGCGCGGTGTCGCGGCCATGACCGGCAGTGACAGTCGAGAGAACCCGACTACTCACCGGGGCACCCCAGCCCTCACAGACACACGGTACACAGGCGTGTGGGTGAGCTCTACAGTCTGCACTGCTGTTACCGTGTGTCTGACTCAAATCGTGAGCGGTACGCTGTTCAAGTTTCAACCGAAATAGCGCCGCCGTTTTTCGTACAGTATTCCGTGAACAATGACGAGCCAGGCTAAGGATAGACACAAGGCGGGCTTTGGTTGGTATTGTCCGTTACGCTTCCGAGCTGTTCCGAAATCGCCCGGCAAAGCTGGCCGCTTCCGAAGATCTGGTACAAGGCCCCAGTCCGTTACCAGAAAATAGTGGCAAAACAGCCGGTTTACCTCTTAACCGAGCCGATTTAAAATGCATGCATACTGCGTTCCTGCGGTCAGAAAATCCTCCACTGCGCAATGACTGAAAACCGTGCACCCAGCGAACAAAAAGACACTGTAAAATGCACCCGGGCGGATTAGCGGTCTGCCAATTCATTAGTGAATCGGTCACTCCGCTAAACGAAGGTCTCTGGTAAGTCATGACCTTCTGCAGGCTCCCATAAGCCACTGCGGCTGGGCCTGGTGCTGCGGTGCAGGGTCGCACGAACTTCCCATTTGATCTGACAGAAAAGGCGCTCGCTGCTCTATAAATAAACAGCGGAATCCGTACGGGCCGGGCCGTGCTGCAGTCGCCCTCCGAACGCATACCGATGGGCCAAGCCCTCGGTCTGGCCATATGGCCACCCGCCTGTTGACACCTTATCTGGGTCAAACATCGCCATCTTTAGGCGTCCGGCATTTGTCAAAACTAGGACATCAGGGCAGTATTTAGCTCCTAAATAAAGCACGGATCACGATTAAGCTGTGAGCTGGCCACTGCCGTGCTCACGGCGCAGTCTGTCGGCGGCAGAGGCCGTCCCGGGTCGGCCGGCCGACCGGTGCGGTCCCACCGACAGCCGCGGCGGCGGGTGGCCCCTCCGTTCAAGGCCGGGCCCCGCAACACAGCACGCCCGGGCCAGCAGCCGGCCTCCCTCGGCGGGTCGGCGGCTGACCGGTACGGTACAGCTCGGTCAGCCACTGAGTACCCAAAACGGCTACCTCCACAGCCCGAGACCCGTCTCCGCCCCAGACATCCTGCCGGCCGGCGGCACCTCACCCCGACCTGCCCTAACGAACTCGGCGCCGCTGGCACCCACACAGCAGCGACGACTCGGTCCGGTGAGCTCCCCCGCCGCGCCGCCGCCGTCGATCTGACCAGGATCAGCAGCCGGCCGCGTGACCAGCGCCCCTGCAACACCGGCCACTCGCCAGCCGGCCGGCCGGCCACCAGCCACCGGCCCGCCAGACAGCCAGACAGACAAACATCTGCACACGGCCGGCCGTCAGATCGATATACCAACATAAATAGCGTAATAACATAAATCAAACTAAGTGGTCGGCCAATCAGATGACACTCGGAGTCGTTTAGCCAACAAAAAGCAGCGCGCCCAGGACGATTACAGCGACCGACGGCCACTTTTCTCGGCGAATGGTTCACATGATGCCGAGAGCTCAGGCCACACGGACGGGTGACGGTGTTGGCTTACAAAGTCGCTGGGACTTGGGAGAGACAGTCTGTTGCCGTTTAACGACAAAAGTGGCTGTAAAAGTGACCCCGTTAATTGGTAATTTATGTTCATGACAGCCGAATGATTGGAAGATAATAGTGGGCCCTCGAGTCACATTCCATGGATGATGCTCAATGAAAGTAGTTTTTCCAGTTCCGTGGCATCATCAAGAAGCGTTCTCACATTGCTGAAGCCTATTGTGTGGTTTAGAAGCACACCTCCCAAACACGCGAATCTCCTTACCAGACACATATTGCGTTATGCAGGTTACCAACTGCCTACCGGTGTGTCTGCCTAGGCCTAACTAGCGGCTGTGGCGTCCCACAACAACAGAGACTGGTCCCTGTACCGCACCCGGCCGCGCGGCCCATCGGCAACCAGTCCTGTGACGCAAATCGACACGTGGGGCCGGTGCCTCGCATTGTGGGAGCCAGGACCTCTGAGAATCAGCTGTTACAAAATAGAGAAAACATAACGGACCCATGAAAACCCGCACTGGACATTCCGCTTGCAGAAGGGTGCTGCAAACTCCGCAGCGCTTGTAATTATAAATGGCCCGCGTCAAATCTGTTAGGTACTATATGGAAAAGGCGCATGACAATAACCAATATATCCAACCCTGGAAATAGCAGGACAAAAATAACCTGATAGGCTGACAGTGGCAGCACAGCAAAGTGCATGTTTCGAGCGTCCTAAGCGGTCAAACAAAAAGACCATCGAATAACAATCAGCTATACCACAACACGACAGCGACCCGATGCTATCTATCAATCTAGCGAGCCTGGTGAGCATTATCTACAGATCTAGCGATCCGTGCCGGCTCCTTTGATTAGTCTGTTTCGACCGCCAATAGTGACTCGCACGAAACTCGTACAGACGTCAAACAGAGACCATTCACACTATAAAAATACCAAACATGCCCTAGCTTCTGACAGCACATTTTCAGAGCATAGCATGTCTGTCTACCATTGTCAATCTAATCCGTTCCATGTGTGGCGTGTTCGGTCTCTCAGCGCCCCTCTCCGGGCCCTGGCGGTGAGTTCGTCCCCGAGCTCTGCGCCGCCGAGCCCCGTGAGAATTGAGAGACGCGGCTCAGCGCGCTGACATCAGACGACGTCACAGCGGCGGGCGCGGCGCGGCGCGGCGCCGCCCGGTCGCACCCCGCCCTAGATCCGTCCGGTCGCCCGCAGTCGCCACTGTGGCAGACCGTCTGCTGTCTGTTTCTGACGCCGGCACTACTGACCGGCGTGCAACCACGGACTACTATTTGTCACTGAGGCCTGGTGCTATTGCATTGAACGCCATTGGAGAGCACAGGCCCGGGTGTTATACAGCTGAGACCAGCACGGGTCGGAGACAGCACGTCTGTCGGACTGCACACGGCCCTGGGCCGGGTAGTCTGGCATCTGGACCAGTGGGATCCTCCCACTCACGACTCCGCTATCAGGCCCTCAGCCACCCGCACCGTCCCGTCCACTTTCGCCTCACGCTCCTCGGTGGACCAATGGCGCCGCTCCCAAACATGGCTCAGGCATGGTTCAGTTTTCACCATGCCCAGAGCCGGCGACGGATTACATCTGCGGTAATCTTTTGAGAGGACCGCCGCTCGCCGCGGGGATCCCCGACCGGTTTAAACTGACCGCATTCTATTCAAGCTCTCCTTTATTCACCCACGCAGCCGATTTATCTGTGTCATGAAAACCAGAGATGACCTATATCACCGCGCCAGCAAATCAAAACAAAGCCGTCTGTGAAATTCACTTTCTATGGACATAAGCGTCTCCTCGAATGTCTACCCATGATCGTCCAACATTCATTTAACTCTTCCTGTCCGGTAGCTCACACATCACCTTTATTGGGTTTTGTGCCTGTTCACGGTTTCAATAAAATATCTCACCTCCCATCCCTCTCTCCTGATCGGTTCCCACCCGCACGTCCTCTCTCCTGTCCATCCTGTTCGGTACCTCTCCCGCACACCCTCCCGTATGTGCCCCGCATCCTGTCCCATCTAACGGCACTAACCGTGTAGCTGGCTGTTGATGAGGATCTGACTCGTCATGTGTTTCAGGCTGATGACCATGGCATGCAGCAGGTGCAGCTCCTCCGTCATCCGCAGCGCCAGCTGCTCGTTGCTGAAGAGCTGCACACTGACGTGGACGACCCGGTTGGTAAGCGGGTCCGGGTCGGTGCTGGCAGACAACATCTGAGAGATGCGCGCGTAGTGCAGCACGAACGCGCGTGTGAAGCACTCCTGTGGACGGACAGCATGCGTCAGAGCTTCAACGTATACACTATACAGGCTACTGTAGACGATCGAGATAAACTATGAAGGTACTTTGAGCGAAAATTATCAGGGAGCACGGGGGCGGAGCTATTTCGCGACCAGCCTCTCCTCTCAAGAGCCATGAAAAGGTGGATTAAAATAGCCCACCCATGATCAGACCAGGGCATATAATCACCTGACCGCCACGCCGTCAGTTCGCCCGGCTCGCCATAGATCGAGAGCTGACCTACGTCACTGTGACGCAAACAGCCCATTGCCACCGCCGCCGGGGCGTTCAGAAAGTCGCCTGATGACGTCATGTCATTAGCAGCTGGCCGGAGCCCAAAATACCGACACGTTCGCAGACCAAAGCATCAAGGTGAAAGACGAGCTATTGGCAGCTAACCTAAATATAAATGCTTGCTGATAAAATGCGGCTGAGTGTGCCATCGAGCCGTTCCTATACCCGGTAAAATGCATAACATTTACAAAAACACTAGACACTGACGTAAATTCACCCCAGTCGGCATTTGAAAGTCATTCCCGGGGGTGGTGCGCCCCTCCACAGGGCACCATCTGTTTACCCCGCACCCGTGTCATTACGATAAACAGAGCACGCCACAGCGGCCGGTCATTGCGTCAGTTACGGGGCACACGGGGAGGGTCACGTGAGGGGCGGCACACACGCCCTCCCCGTCCGAGGACACGGGCACAAGACCGACCCATCCCCTCCCTCCCATCTGACTCTATCGGCCTAGCGAAAGACACGGCTCAACTTTAGCTACCGAAGCCCCGGTGAACAAGCAAGTCTAGCCATACCAGTGGATTTCGTCAGCCACCTACCTTATACCGCTGATCGGGCAGCATGTAGAGGAGCAGGCAGACCAGCTTGGTAGGAAACTCGTACTTGTACGTCCAGAACACCAGCTCGTCCAGCATCGTCTCGTGCTGAATGTTCTCCTGGAGGGCCGGCGACAGCGCTGCGGGGTGGAACACGGACACAATCAGACGACGGTCACGCGCGAGTCACGGATGGGCCACATATTGGTAACAGATGGGTCACAGGAGGGCATACGATTGAGCAAATTTAATAGACACCCGGGACCGACTATCATAACTTTCGTTCGAGTCATACGGGGTCAATGATTGCAGTTTGCATCATGTATCCAGGACTTCGTGCTTGTCATTACTATAAACCCAAAAGATACCGACCAATAGCGACGTCCCATGGAACTGCTGAGCAATATTACCAATGCAAGGAAGTAGACGTCAATTACGGTAACCGACCAATAACAAACTGCAAACGAGCACATCCCAGTCATTAACACACGAAAATGAATCACCAAAGTATACTGATCACAGCAGTTGGAACTGGGCGATCGTTTATTATAGCCGCTGCAGCCCAGAATCGTTCCCAGGGCAGTCTGGCAGGCATTGAGGCATGGCCCGATACCGCAGCACGCCAATTCATTCAACAGACATCCCATCCTAAAATGTCACACTTAACAGAAAGCCGCAGAAAAGTCTGCTGCGACCGCGGCACGCCTTGGGAAAGTTGTCATATCACGATAAAGACGTCCCATAATTTAGTAGCGCCGACTCAGCTGTCAAACAAACTGGTTCCGAGCTGACAGGCAGTACTAGCGAACACCGCCGACTAAAAACCAGGAAACGCAATCATAAATTGAGCCGTGCGGCCGGCTGGACAGTCAGCCAGTCCGCCCGTCCGTCGGTCCGCTCTGCTACGAATTCAGTGGAGCGGAGTTTGTGGCCGGCCGGGACGGGTGACGGCGGCGGACCCAGCGGCCGGCGGGAGGCTCCTCGGCGGCAGGACCGGCCCCGCGCGCTGATAGAGCCATCCCCCGGTGTCGGCCGGCGCCCCCAGAGGTCGAGCGCCGCCGCCCATGGCCGCCACGGATGGATGGAGGGTATGATGATCGCCCCACAAAACATGTATTATGTATGGCGCAAGGCAAGCTGATGCAACGGTGGCGGTGGCGAGCGCGCCCGGCCCGCATTTGAATGAGCATATGCTGTGGCCGCCGCCGCTGCCGCGTCCGACCGACACGGGGCGACGCGCCCAGCCGTGTCCCCGGAATGGAAATAACCCAGGTAGGATAGAGCCGCTCTGACAGTGGTTATGACACGGGACGACAACAGGTCAGCCCAGTCTACCACAGAACTCACTGACAAGATGCCACGACGTTTAACTCAGGAGCGCCCGAAGTGAGACGTTATCCCCTCCCTCCCCAGACAGTCACGGCTCAATAATTCAATACAGCCCGCATGTGTTCCGTCTCGTTATGATCAGAACCGCGTCCATTGACGCGTCACCATGACACGGCGGAACGGGTCCGGCTGCACGCTCCGACTCCCCATCCGCCGGAGACGTCTCAGACACAGGGGCGACACGACTCAGAGACAGGCGCGAGAGATAGGTGGCTCGTTCCAAATGTCCAGACCTACGCATGGAATATTCCGCGCATTTCCATTTCCAGATGTATGCTGTTTTTACAATTTGATCCATCTGATATTTGCCTACCAGTTTATTTCAAAGGCTCGAGCATGGGAAAAATCAGTATCATCAGCTGAACGCTCGTTCAAAAGGAGTTAAGTCCGAGCTGTTTGTGAGAGCTCACAGAACGCACAGACATAAGCGCATGACGATATTTTTAGAGCGTCAAAAGAAGCAGCGAATTCCCACTTTCAGGGCTTCTTCAAGCTCCCCACACGTTTAGCATCTTGTCCATGAACTGTCCACCGCCCGTCCACTGTCCACCACGTCCACCACATCTCCCAATAATACGTACCGCGCAGCTCGGGCGCCACGTCCGGGTTGGGCATGCTGTTGACGGCCTCCACGTAGTTTCTGTACGCCTCTCGCAGCAGCTTGGTCTCGCCGTGTGCGTCGTCCTGTGTGATCTGCACCAGGTCCATGTCCCGGTACAGCTGCCGAGGGAGAGAGAAACGGTCAGATGATGAACACTGGGAGCCGCTGAAGTGGGTGAAATCATAGAAATGACATCATTGTGTAAAGACATTCGATGAAAACAAATAATGTAATAATGTTCATTAAGCTGCCTGTTCATATCAGCTGGCAACAATGAGCATGAGTGAACGAACAAAGTTTGAGGACACCACTACACACGCTCTCCACAGACTCTCATACCCGCATCCACCTGTGCTGTGAGTACACAACACAGAGCTGAGAGCACAGGCCAGTAATTGCGCCGTTAACGAGGGATGCCCAGCTCGACTGCCTGCGCATTCCACCGCGGCAGCGGCAGAGATTGTCGGGCATAAAACGTCCCATAAATCAGCAGCGCTGCCGCAGTGTGCGCTGCGCTGCCGCTCGACGGGGCGCGTTTCCTCGCGGTGGCGGCAGGGTCCAGGGAATTCCGCCGCCCCGTCCCAGCGCCGGCCGCACCGCGGCGAGTTACTAGCCGGAAACTGCGCGCCCGACCCTGGCCGTATCACGGCGCGGATCGGCCGCGTACGGCACAACACACCAGCGCAGAGCGGCGAGTACAGCACGGTGCAGCACAGCACAGCGCAACACACCGGCACGGTACGGCACAGCACATGGCAAAGGCTGGCACGGTACAGCACAGTATGACAGAGCACACTGATACAGCCCGGTGTGACACAGAGCAATACAATACGGCGACTCGGTACAGCACGGCACGGTACGGTAAAAAGCACCGGCATTGAGAGGCACGGTAACGCGGAGCAGTCAACAACCCGGCACCAAGTAACTGATACATCAGCGTAAACAAAATAAAAATACCAGCCACGCGCACATAGCCGCCATAGAATGGACACAAACAATGCCACAGCAAACAGAACAATGCATTAAAATATCAACCAGCCCGACAGGCGGTACGCTGCGTACGCAGCGAGTTCCATCTCAAGAAGCCACTATCGCATCTCCCCCTTCCTCCTCCCTCTCCCCTCCCACCGGCTCACGCACGACCGCCTCATCCGCGACCACATCCGGCCGGCTGCGCATCCTCCCGAAACCGCAGCCTCGTCCGGCGCTCTGCTCCCCGCGCCTCCACAAGGCCGGCACTCGGCGGCCGCATATACACACCTCCATATTATCCCCCTTGCACAGTAGAAAAAGACTCTCCAGTGACTATCCACGTTAAGCAGTGAAGAAAAAAACTGAGTGAGAGGTTAAGGGGGAGGGGGAGAGTTCCTTACCTCTCGACTTGTGAGCGCCTCCGTCATGCAGGCCCGCATGGCGGTGCGCATGTTGCACAGGTCCTGCAGGAAGTTGAGGTAGCCGTCCAACCGCTGCATGATGCTGGCGTCGTTACTCTCCATGTTTTCCGCACGGCTGGAGAGGCGAGTGGGGAGGGAGGTCAATAAAAATGAAATACGACAGCGGACTGCTTGTTACGAGCGTTCAGGTTAAGCAAAAAGTAGCGTGTGTTATAGGGGTAGCAATAAAGCCTTGTTTAAGCCTCAGTGTGTTCCGACCGATCAAGTGAGCGTAGAGTGGCCGCATTGATTGTCTATCAGCTCCACCTAACAGCCCATGTTACTACCACACGCGGCCTCAGTCCCTTCACAAACCATTACGACACTATACATGTCGCCGCTCCACTAAACCCGCCAGTTACACAAGAGTCGGACCATCTACCTGTCGATGAAGGGGTCCCCATCGCATAACCTGCCGACATGTAACCCATCCCCGCCCCAAGCAACACCAAATCCCACCCGTCCGTAAGTCGGCCGACACAGGAGCGACCGCCTCTGATGGGCCGACCGCCGCCATAAACAGAAACAGCCGACGCCACCGGCAGGAGACTATAGTCGGGTGGGGGATGCGCTGAGACAATGGGCATCCCGACACTGACTGACCGGAGAGGCTGAAATCAATACAAACGGCCCCGTCTGGCCACTGTCTCTGCCGCTTCAGACGCTCGACCGGCGGGTCGCGCTGACAGCCTGTGACGAACCTGGCATTGAGCCCGGCCGTCCGCCTTATCTCAGACAATGCGACCGCACCCCGCCGCATCCCGACCCGTCCTGGCGCGTCTCATCTCAAACAATACCCGCACCCCGTCCCCGGCTGTCCCGACCCATCCCAGCCTGTCGCGCCCAGTCCCATCCGGCGCCCGCGGTCGGAACAGCCGAGCGACGAGCGTCGGCCGTCGACCTCACCTGTTTATCCGCAGGTAGACGAGCAGTCGGGAGAAGATACGCGGCATCATCTCTCGCGGCAGCTGCATTAGGGAGTCGGGCGGGCCGCGCTGGGCGGCCGGGTCCGTCTGGCCGTGCAGCGAGCAGAACCTGCCGACACACAGAGAACCAGCGGTCAGATACGGTCCATAGGGGTGGGAGTGAATAAAATGGCGTGGATCAGTGTGGAAATTGCTTAGGAGTGACAATCAGAACACTGGACAAAGACAGACGCAAGGGGCAGGCTGGCAACAAGATAAAACATTCAGTACACATTCACAAGATACAAATCAAAACGTTAACAAACAAACAAATAAGATACAAACAAACAAAGACTTCTCTCGCGTGGATGCACATAAGCACGGCTCATTTCATTGGATAAGCAGCTGCATACATTCATGGAATGGGGCCGCGCCCAGGGGCTCAGTAAAGGCTGAAAGCCAAGTTGCAGTTGGAATGCCTTGCATTAGGCCGGTGAGAATCAAGACACAGAAGCATGCCTCACAGCTTCACAGGCCGACTAACAGGGAGCCATTAACATCACCACATTCTTTTGTATATCTAGAGAAGCCTGTGTGTCAACCTATCTGCATTTTCTGACGTTACTCGTCACCACAGGGACTGATTGTGCTGGCTCATTTTCGTCACTGGAACGAGAGTCACCATGACGACAGACATCCTAACAAATCATCCTCCGGGCCGCCGTGGCGGCGGCAGCCGCCCCAACGCAGCACAGCCCGTCAGGCTGAGGCCATCATCCCGCCTCCAAAGAACAACATACAGAGGCCTCGGGCGCCGGCGCCGCTTGCTTTGTAAAACAGCCCGGCAATGTCACAGCAGCGGCGGAGCGCAGATGTTCTGTGTCACCCGCCAGCCGGGGCGTCATGTAATAACGCCGCCACTGAGGCGCCCGGTCGCCATCGAGGCATCACCAGACACCTTCGGGACGCCATCCGGTCGCCATCGACAGCCTCCTCGAACGGGGCCGGTTCAGAGGCGCGACACCGAGACGGTCGCCTCGCTGAACACACGGAACAGCGGCGGCCCGACCGCAGAGCCATTAACATATCACCGCTCGGTTTGCCAGAACTCGGCGGCCCGGAACCGACTTCAGCCAGGCACGGCTGTGGGGCCAGCCGAGCGGGGCACTGCGCCAAACACCCCCGCCGCAAAGCTGCGGGCAGCTTCGCGCTGCGAGTGTTGCATAACATTCAGCTGTCACGGTCCGGTCACTGGCGCCGGCTCCGAGTGGTGACCTCTGCGGGTGACGGCGGACCGACGGCCGCGGCCAGCGCCGGAGGGCGGGGGGGGACGGCAGAGGTCAGTGCCGGCAGCGGCACACCCCGCGGCACGACGGACGGCCGCCGCGCCGCCCGCATCGCCAGCGGTGCCATTGAGGTCACGTCAGTCACGCCGGACGAGACGGACCAACAATCGATACAACAGGCAACAGTTCCGCAGGGCGGAAAAGTCGGCCTGCGTCGCAATCGTTGCTGAGATTAGATTCAAACATCAAAGTGATGCATCAAAATCCGGGAGGAGCAAAGGCATTCCAGCACCACCGTCTTCGACATCGGTGTCCTCGATTACTATCTTATTCAGTCTCAATCTCAGAGGTCCGCGTACAGGGGCGTAGCCAAGGGGGGGGGGGCATAGGGGCCATGCCCCCCTGGAGCCCAAAAGGGCCCCCATCGCGGTGTCATAAGTACGGTAAGGGGCACAATAACAGTAGCGAAAGGGCCCCTCGGGGCATTCCACTGGGTTCGCGGGGGCCTTTCGGGTCTGAGACCTTGCCGCTAGGGCCCTCTGGGCTCTCTTCATTGGTTATAAAAGGGCCTTTCGGGCCTGAGGCTTTGCCACTGGGCCCCTCGGGGCCCTCTCCATTGGATTCTCAGGGGCCCTTCGTAATTTTAAGGTAGTTAAGCAGATAACTACGTCATGAAATTAAGAAAATGTTGGGCCCCTTCGCTCACATGGGCCCCTTTCGGTCTGATTGGCCCCGCTGAGGAAAATCCTGGCTACGCGCCTGGCCCTGTCAGGCGTTCAGGGGCCCCTTGCGGTCCTTAATATGCTCAGAGAGTTTTCCTGTAGATCAGAGGACCCGTCACGCGCGCTCAGGGGCCTCTTCATGCACTTAGAGGGCCCTGTCGTGTACTCAGAGAGCCTTTCTGTGGCTTAGAGGGCCCCGTGAAGCGATCAGAAGCCCCTCCATGCGCTCAGGGGGCTCTGTCGTGTATTCAGAGGGTTTTCTGTTGCTAAGAGTGCCCTCGTCAAGTTATCCGCGGCCCCGTCAAGCGAAGTTAAGACCTTGCCACTGAGGTCCCTCTGGGCCCTTTCCATTGGTTGTAGAAGGGCCATTTGGGCCTAAGACCCTGCCACTGGGCCCCTCGGGGCCCTCCATTGAGTTCGCAGGAGCCCTTCAAGCCTGAGACCTTGCCGCTAGAGCCCCTCTGGACACTCTTCATTGGTTATACATACATTGGTTATATACATTGGTTATATGTAGAAGGGCCCTTCGGGCCTAAAGTTTTGCCACTTGGCCCCTCGGGCCTCGGGGCCCCTTTCCATTGTGTTCGCAGGGGCCCTTCGGACCCGAGACCCTGCCACTGGCCCCTCGGGGCCCTCTCGAGTTCGCAGGGGCCCTTCGGGCCTAAGACCTTGCCGTTAGGGCTCCTCTGGGCCCTCTCCATTGGTTGTTAAAGAGCCCTTCGGGCCTGAAGCTTTGCCACTGGGCCCCAAGGGGCCCTCTCCATTGGGTTCGCATGGGCCCTTCGGACCGGAGACCCTGCCAATGGGTCCTTCGGGGCCCTCTCCATTGAGTTCGCAGGGGCCCTTCGGACCGGAGACTATGCCAATGGCCCCTCGGGGCCATTGGCTTGAGGGGCCATTGGCTTCGTGGGTCTATCTAGCAGGGACCCATGGACTGCTTGCCCCTCAGTTCTAACATTCTTTTCATTTTTAAATATTTTTTTTTAATTTATTTGGGCCCCCTCCAAAAAAATGTGGATGAAATCCGACGACTTTTTGGATTTTGAGGGGGTTTACCTTGGGCCCCTGTAAGTTAACCCCCTCCTGGAGGAAGTCCTGGCTACGCCCCTGTCCGCGTAGCACTTTCAAAGTAAGTTCGTTCAAGCCGTGAATCTACACACCCACACACATTTTAGCAGCGCAACACAGCTCATCGCTTTTACAACAACAAAAAAAAAAACGCACAAACGTACCACAACACTTTCGGCTTTCTTACCCTGACGGTTTCATGACGTAGGGGTCTCCGCAGTCGCAGGCGCCGCCGGCCTGCGACCAGAACATGTTGTAGTCGTGGCCGTCGTGGTTGCCGCGCTGGAAGCACTCGGCGCACAGCGACATGCACGGCGAGATGCCACAGGTGCGACACCGGTAGGCCACAAAATTGGCCGTCCACACCATGCCGCAGCGCTGCGCGTTGTCGTAGCTCCGCACTGTGGAGAGAGACACGCGGTGAGTCAGTATGCTGCTCTTACAGGGCCCTCAACACGTGACATAGACTGGTGATACCTTTTAGTAAGTTATAGAGGCGACGTGATCGTCCCAACGTCCCATGGCCTGAACAATGCGGTCACGGCTGACAATTCGTGAGTTCAGCGTCGAGTGACATTTCTACATCGGCGGTCAAGGGGCATAGGGTCGTACAGAGCGCTGTGCGGCGCCATTTGTGAGGTCTTACAAAGTGCTGATTGAATACAACCACAGCGCGGCGGTGAGAACGACTCGGCGCACACGGCGCGGCGCGCAGCCAGTCACGATCGGTAGCGGGGCCGGCGCGGTGCGGTAGATACCGCCCCGATACAGCCGGTTCTGCGGGCTGACAGTGAGGCCGGCGGACGGCCAGCCCTTCACTCGCCGACACGGATACCGACCGGCGGCCGCGCCGCTCGCGTGAGCCCGTCGCCGTGACCAGACATCGGTGTGGCGTGTCGGCGTGTCATCGTCAATATGCCACGTGACGTGATGAAGCGACTGGGCCCCTGATGTCCCCTAAACACAGCCGGATTTCGGACAATGCGCCGCCGCCGACCGTGCTAAAACGGCGCTCCCAGCCGGCAGCGGTTCGCAAGGCGACTGGCGAGCATGGTCTAATTGGGACGCAAATCAACTGTTTCCCCGGGCACGCAAGACTCCACGTAAATACAAAATGGAACCTGCTAAAAGCAGTCTACACGACGCTTATAAAACTAGCAACGGAGTCTGTGGCAGTGCATCATCCGCAATGCTCCTAACGAGGTCAAACGCAGACCATCTGGCAAAGATCAGCGGATGTCTGCTGCTGAGATCAAACGGAGGTCATGTGTCAAAGTCACGTATATGAACCCACCCTCCAGCGGTATTAACAACTCATCTACCAAAATACCCGCCCGTGTGGTCACTGTTTACAACTGTACAGAGCCCCTACCGTCAGAGTGCAGTAGGCTGGGTCACGTTTACAAAATTTACTGTCATTACGTAGTGAGGCTGCAGAAGCCGTGAAGCCGTAACGGCCGTCCGGGGAGGCCATCGCACTGCGCACTGGGACAATGACCAAAAGCCGGTCGGTCGGTTGGCCTCCGCGCGGGCGGCGCTCGTTACACAACTGTAATGTACTCTGACAGCACAGAGAACCAGCCTGCAGCGGCGTGATGGTCCGCTCCGGCCCGAGCAGACCGGGCGACAGACGGACGGACAGACGCACACAAACTGTACAAGACTGGGACAACATTGGAGTCGACAACCGCCCTGGGGCGGGGAGGGGGCGGTCTGCAACTGTCTGCACACAACCAGTCCGGACTCGTTAGGCACAGACATGATAACATCCCTGCACGTTAGAGATCCGGAATGGCATCATCGCCGGCCGCAAACGATCAAAATTGTTTTATTGTTGTGAGTAAAGGGGCTAGGTCGATTGTTCAGGCATTATTTTGTATGCTAATGACATAAAGCCGGAAGGGCCTGTCAATGTTGAGCGATCTCACCTTCAGCCCATTCGTGCAAGCATGTCAAGGTAAACCGACATCAACTCATAAAACAATAAACAATAATGGTTGTGACATAGTTCAATGAGTAATAAAAGGACACAGCCATTAAAAGGGCATTAACTAAAGCTGACGATCTAAAATGATCCAATTAGGCGTGCTGTCAAAACTTTTCGCTTGCTATCACATTATCACCGCTAAGTACCCCACTGATCGCGCTCTCACATGACCGCGTTAGTTCTCGTTCTTAGTGAAACCTTTCAGACATGCAGAACTCGGGGTGAACCAGTTGGGGTGTGATTTCTGAGTCAGATAATCCCGCCCTGAGTGGCAGCACGACCCCCGGCAGCCGCGCTCCGGCCGATCTTGTTTGGGAATACCACTGCAATGTGTCACGGCTCGTAAGACGGCGTCATAAATCCGGTACCCCGGCGCGACCGGCCGCTGCTATCCCGTCATCCGCGCACAGCCCGCTGTCACGACGCCGCGCGAGCCCGGTGCGTCTGCCAGTCCCGCGTCTCCCGCCCTGCGCAATGGCACACATATTCCCGTCGCTTTGGCCATGAACGTGAACAGTAAGACACGGTTGTGCCACTTCACCGAGTCACGGATGCCGTCAAATCAATAGCTCGAGTGTCCACTCCACAGCAAAACCAAACCAAGCCTGACGGGAGAGGGCGTCCATGTATTGCGCCGGCCGCGCAGTACCGCGGCACGACGAGGGGCGACCGCAGCGCGCCGTCCGTCCGGCCGGCCCATCCGGAGGCCCAGCTGGGTCCCGCCGCGTCGCCCCCATGTAAACAGCGGCGGCGCGGCCGGCCAGGAGCGCCGGGTGACGTCACACCACGTGGGCTCGCGCCGCCCACCGGACCCGAGCCGCGCCGCGCCGAGCCAGCCGGAGCCGAGCGGGTTTGAGCACCGCGCGCCTCCTCTCACGGCCCGGCGGAGAGGAGGGCTGCAACAGCCACCCGCCCGGCGTCCGGCGCCGCTCACCGGACCAGCAGTCAGCGGCCACCCGATACCGCCTGTTGCGTCATGACCCGTAATAGCCAACGATCCGAGCCGGGTCGGGCCGCGGCGGGACGGGCAGCGCATCTCCGACCAAAGCTAGCGGCGCCGGTGGTGGGAGAGGCGCACCCGAGGACCGGAGGCCGGACGAGGCTGCCGCCAGTCCCACGGACGCAGCGGTCCGGTCCGATGAGGGTCAGGTCGGGTAGCTGCGGGTTGGCGTTGAGAGTTGAGACGCAACGGAATTTAGCCGAGGCAGTTAGTCGAAGGATTTAACGGTGGAAAATCATCGAAGACTAGCCGTACGATTACGGAAGCGTTCGAATTCCAGGCGTGAACGTGCCGCACGGCGATAGATCTGCGGACCGCAACATCGCGGACTTTTCACCGCAGGTTACGGCGGCTTCGGGAACACGCAATCAAAGGCTTTGATAACCGCCAAGTTCATGCCGCTGGAAGTCCCCGTTTGCCAATTGGCGAGAATTCCGACATCCTACCGCTCTCTGGGCCGTTTTCCAGTTCACTTCGGCTCGGTTGCTGACAGTGGCGGAGAGCTGGCTCAGCGGAGCCCCACCACCCCCACCACCGCCTACGCTGGCCGGCAGGGCCGGGTCGCCAGAGCAGTGAAGGGCCTCCTCGGCACTGCGCTGTTTGGGTGGCCGTCTCTGGTCGTCCGACACCGGGTGACACTGGCCGCATGGGGCACCGCGGGCGGGTGGCGCGCCTGCTGCTGGCCGCCCCTCGCCGGTCGTCCAGGGAGGCGCCACCAGGAAGACGGTCGGCCGTTATATAACGAGTCCGGACCGCGCCGTCGTGCTGCAGCCGCCGCCTGTGCACGGCTCCCGGTCCGAGCGCAGCGCTCCAATCGCCCGCGGACCACAGCCATGGCTCACAAACAGCGCTATCAAGCCGTTTACGGCCAGCGCTAGGCCCATCGGCCGAAATTAGTGAGATCCGCGTCTTGCATATGCCTGCACAAGCCGCGATACAGCTCGTATCTCAGTCTCCCGCCCCACCCAATTTTGCCCTACCGACGCCTCGAGCATGGTTGCCCAAAATCACACCCACTGCCCACCACAGTCGTCCCTCCACCCTCCTCTTTCTCACCTTGTTCGGCAAACTCCTCCGGAGTCTTGTCGGCGGCCATGATCCACCGCATCCACTCCACAATGTTCTCATCACTGATGGGTTTCAGCGGACTGAGGAGCTTATCTAACAGCTGGTGCAGCAGGCGCGGTGACGGCTCGCGCTTCAGAAAGTTGGCCGCCCAGCGCTTGCCGCGCCGCTCCAGCGCCTCGGCCGTGACCGGCTCCTCATCCTCCTTCACTGCCGTCTTCTTGGGGTCCACCATGGCGTCGGTGGCCGGCCGGCCCGCTCACTGCCAACACACAGAGACGGACGGGAGGGTCAGACGAGTGGCGCAGTGCGACTCGGGGGCGGGACGCTCGGGAGGGTGGCAAAGGTCACAGCCAGGATGACACCGGGCACACCAACACACACTTACTCGTTCACTCAACTATCATGGAGGTAGACATTAGTGATTATAGGGCCCATCTGTTACTGCATACAAATGATAAGACGCTAATCTTCCTGCAGAATAATGATAAGCTTGCGTCGGTGGTCTGATGCGCAGTATTCCGCAAACCATAACTAACGTGATCAAAGCTACGAGGAAAAGAAGTTTCGTGGCCCGGCATAGCCCGCGCCGGCGCTGGAGGCATCGTTCGAGCATCGCTACCAAGGCACGGGGAAGGGGATGGGTGTGACGGCCGGACGGGCGAGCTGGCACCGCTCCAAGGCAGCAGCCGAGGCAGCGCAGGCCCCAGCGTATATTGATGATGTTGGAAATGTGATATGCAGCCACAGGAATAAAACAGACACTAGACAGCAAAGGACAGAGCGGACATGGCATGGACAATAGACAGGGATGGTCCAGGCCTCAGATTGGCGGTGCAAAACCTAAGCGACGGTATTTATAAATACCGAAAGACAAAGAACGGTGGAAATAGCCCTTTGTCATATATAGCATAATATTCCCGGTGTATAAAATCGATGTTATCTTTGCTTCTGCATTTAATGGCCATAGATCCATGGCCATACCAAACATCGCATTAACCTTGACCTAACGGACCCAATTCCCTGTACTTATAGTGGTAGGTGTATTTTTGGACTTTGTCGAACAATGGCCCAACGAATCCAGCACGGACCCCGACAGACCCAACATGGATCCCGTCGGGCACAGGCGAGGACACACCATGTCCGTTGTGAAACCGACGCGTGTCCGCGGAACCGATTCACCATTCCGACCATCTCGGCCGACCTTCGGGTCTTTCCCGATCGTTACGGCAGTTCGGTGAAGCATTTATTCGCCGTCGATCGCTCCCCCGCCGGCCGCCACCGCGGCGGATTATGCAATTATACAGTAAAATTAGCCACTCAGCACATGCCGAACGATCATAATCCGACAGGCGGGACGAATGAATGGCCACGGCGCGGGACATACCCTTGACATAGCGTGCCGCATTCTGCACGATGATCGACCCTCAGATAGGCGGACAACAGATAGCTCAATGGTTGGTTGATAAGGGATAACAGCGGGACGTGCGGCCAAATAAACGCTCCAAGTTCGATCAAAATAACAGCATCAAGTCACCGCTCCGCTCGACCCGCGAATCCAGACGGCCACACGGCGGGAGTCCAGCTGGCAGTGACGCCAGTGACCGATCGAGTCGGGGGTAATTAGTCTGACAGAGCCGCTCACCAGGTCACACTCCGTAAACTCTGTCACTCAGTCAGGCGGCCATTAGGCCAACAGACTGTTAGTTGAACGCGATCACAATCCATCAATCACAGAGCAGGCTGGTGTTTCTCACAGGCAGCAGACGTCTCCAAAGCTGCCATAAACTGGCATCCCGGCCACACAACGGCTTTGTCATGCACTTTCACTGGTTGTGTACATACATCATATTGCGTGTTTATATCGCTATTTCATTACATAATACCCCACGACGCCAATCGGACGGCTAACGGAGCAGCCCAAACCGGCTTACTCGTACATGGGTCACTGCAGCCTCTGCACGTCTCCTCTCATCAGTCGGAGAGCGGTGCATCTGAACGAGGGGGTACCCATGGCCGCGAGCCGGTCCTCCGGTCACCTCCGAGTGATCGGCGGCCCATCACGTGTCCGACAGGACCCGCGCCCGCCGGTCCGGCTCGGCGGCCGGCGCCCAGAGTGGAAACCCATGTGGCCGACGTGTATCGGACGGATCATCGGGAGGCACGGCACGGCACCGGCACGTCATACCGGTCACCTCAGCGGCAGCGGGGGGGGGGGGGGCGGCCCGGCGCACCCCACCGACACGGACCCAGGACCCGGCGCAAGCCACCGGCCACCCTGCAGCACCCAGCGATAGCCGACATATGGCCGGATAAACGACCCGCAGCACGCCGTCAAACAGTCCAGAATTCAGCCGAAATCACCCCGATCACAATTATCCCTCAACAAATGTCGACGTTCCCTGAAGTGAAAAGAAAATCTCTCAGCCTCCAGCTCCTACCGATAGCCAATGTTTAATCAATGACTTCAGTGAATCTAGCTGGCCACAAATGTCAATTCACATCACCCAGCTGCCTGACACGGTCGACAAGAAAACCGCGGGCTGCAAGACCGCCCCGCCCGCAGCAGGGGTTCCTGTCCTCGGTCGGCGGCTGGCCCCTGTCGGCCGGTCGGCAGGATTTCGTCAGCCACACGTCCACTAATGAATGACCGTCGACCGGCAGCCGACCGGCAGCGGCTGGGCCCTGTGGCCTTCCTCGGAGGGACGGAGAGTGAGAAGAGGCGAGAGAGAGATGTGAAACTAGCGCCGGATCGAGCCGAACCGCTGAGAAACAATGGTTCCAGTGAAACATTCATGAGAATCGAGAAATCTTTGAGATAAGGAGGAAACTCTGGCAGAGTGCGGCCGACACAGAAGTGCTTGTTCAAGCACCCGTGTTCAATAGCCATCACTCATCAGAACTACGTATCAATCGGTCACCAGCGAGCCGTACCATCTGCACCGTGACTCAGTCCCTCACGGACCTCCTGCAGCAGGACTCCGTGACCCCGCCGTCCCCATGTATCCAAACCGCGATCACGAACACCGGGCATCCCTGGGGCCGCCCCTCGGGTGAGCCGAGCCCGAACGCATACATCCATTGACAATGAGAGTTGGAGGGAGAGTGCGGTGACCCGCAGTGTGCCCCTGACGGACAGATGTGTGTTCGGAGGTGGAGCAGTGCCAGCCTCGGTCAGTCTCCAGCTCCGCTCGGCGGCAGCAGATGGGTTACGATACGGAAGCTCGAGAACCCTGAGGTCACAGCCGAGAAGTATGTGTGTTTGAGGATGTGTCGGGCCAGCGGATGTTCCGTGTCGGCCTCAGTCTGCCTGCCAGTCTGTCTGTAGGCAGAACGGATGGACGGACGGCGCGCACACGGCCGTGGAGTGTAGACCGACAGATTCCAGCCGCCGTGGGACAGTCGCTGGCCCCGCCGATACTGCGGTGAGGGCGAGGGCGAGGGCGAGGGCGAGGGCGAGGGCGGCGCGGGTCGCCGGCCTGCCGCTGAGGTCAGCCGTGGTCAGTGACTCAGGGGAGAGGCCCTGCCCTGCCCGTCCGTCACTCAGCAGCGCCGCACGACCCCCGCCTCAGTAATGCAGCACGGCGCTCATCACAGCACAGTCATCACGTGGCTGGCGCCACACCGTGCCGAGCAGCGGTCCACGTGACCACGTGACCAGCCATCAGCTGACCAGCGGTCCTCGCTCCAAATACAACCGCTCCGTACAACGGCACAGTCAACACAATCCGCCGGCAAAAATCGCCTCAAACGCGAGTCGTCCCGCCATGTAACGCTGCTCAGCCGTGAGGCTCGCGGGCGGCACGCGAAGTGGAGCTGCAGGATAGTGCCGTAGAGCTGCAACATTTGCGCCTGTAGAGGCGGGCTGTGCCGACGGGAGGGACCTTGGTCCGGACGTCGCGGTCGGCGTACGGCGCAGGACTACTTCCTGTACCGGGAAGTGTGCCCGGTCGGCCGGTGCCGTCAGCAGCGGTTCGGCGGTGTCTGCAGTGAGCTGTTACCGGTGTCCGCGGCAGCGGAGGGTGCAGCCGGGACCCGTGGTCGGGTCGGAGCGCCGCCGGTTGGAGTAGGTCACCACCGGTGTCTGATACCGACACGGCCCGGCCTTCCGCCGACGAACGGTACCCGTCCTCCGCTGCAGCAGCTCCAGACATTCCGGAGAGCTGCCGGGTGTGTATCCTTCCGTCCAACGGTGACTCTTCCATCGTCAAGGGCGACCACGGTGCCGAGCCTCTACCATCGTCACCTCACAGAGCGATAGACGGGGCCATACGGCGGCAACAGCAAACACTGCACACTCAGACAGACAGGCGGACCGCGGCACTCACAACACACGGCCACTTTCCCGCTCCCTGCAAACCGATAAAATGCGGCACGTCGGTATTAATAAATCATATCAGTCGGCGAGTCGGTTTCAGCGAAGAGGCGGATAACCAGGCTCACTGTTTCCGGCGAAAACTGACCCTTCCCATGCCAGCGCTCTATACAATTTCCAAACACATAAATCACGGATTAATGAGGTGTTTTAAAAACAGTTCAACTCGGCCAGCAGTTGGAAGTTTTGCCTAACGTCAGTGGGCGACTTTCGTGTCCATTCATTGCCGTCACACCCCTGCTGTTCAACGAACAAGCCGGCAGCACAATGCGCCAGGCATCCACGGCATTCAGCTCACCCACTCAGCCCGAAACCAAGCTACTCGGCGGGCCGTGTTCCCCAGCACGGCAGTCCGCTCCTGGCTGTACGCCTACGTCAGTCGAGCTAATGACGTCATAGGACCGTACCGGGAGAGATACAGGGAGGAGACGACCGCGCGAGCCGGGGGCGCCCCGCCCGCGCCGTCCACCAGCTTCCAGTTGGGCTTACATGGTCTGGCGCCGCGACGAGGGCCACATGTCTCGACTGAGGCGCAAAAACAACTTCATCGTTTGTCTAGACATCAGCAGGCGCCTGCTTAGTCATTGGAGCTCATCAGTCATCTCGGGGCACGGCTGCAATCGTGACCAGTATTTGCGTTAAGGAGGCACCGTAGATTGGAGAGTCACTCCACTGACAGTGACGTCACTATCAGCCCACGAGCGACGTGCACGTGCACCTGCCACCAATGTCATTAGCACCCCAGCTCTGAGAGTAACAGACCCATCGCCGACCAGCTAGACTCGCCCCGCACTGAAAGAGGAAGGCAGCTCGCAGCCGCTGTTGAGCAGCGTGTCAGCGCGCAGCCCTGTAAGCCCAGCTTTGACAGAATCCCGAAACACGGAGCG